ACATTACATTACATTACATTACATTACATTACATTACATTACATTACTACTACTACTACTACTACTACCACTTCTTACATTAGTACCACTACTACTTCGGGGAGTCTGGTCTTTCGGCAAGTCTCATGCCAGTCACGTCCTTGGGCCAAGCACCAGTCACGAGGTGTTTCTCCCACCAGGCCCTTCATGGACTCCTAGCAGAGTCTCAAAAGCATGTTCGACAAAGTCAAGGGAAAAAGGAACATCTTCTCAAAAATGATCACAGAGTCATTTTTGTAGGATCTTCAATGAATCTTCAATCTTCCACAAAGTGAGATGGCTTCTCGATCTTCTCAGTATCAGAATCTTTACACAACTTCATTGTCTGGGTAATGAGAGACAAACCTGACACTTGATGGGGCAAACAACATGCCCAATGCCATATAGCATCATGTACATCATAATCCGAGTCCCCTAATACCCTACAGCGTATTTTTTGAAAAAAAACAATCTCAACGAGCTTAAAACATTCTTCTCCTCAAGAATCTGAGTATCTACAGCATTCTACAGCTTATATCTACTTAAACATGTTTCAACGAGCTTAAACCATTCTTCTCCTCAAGAACATTGTTTCTCTCCAGGAGTTGCAAGGTGAAGTGCAGTTGGGATCCGGGCATCCGATAGGTGGAGACCACCGATTGGGCACACACCTGGTGGAGCCGAAGCGAGCTGCCACAACGACATCAAGGCGGTGACCATGATGTCCGTACTTGGGAATGATAGGAGCCTATGCCAGGTATATGGATAGGTTCAATATGGATGAATATGGTTGAATACTTGAGGGTATCCCCTCTATTCATCAATCAACCAAGGCCTTTTTCAGGTCGGCGGTGACATGGTCGGCAGAGTCTCCGGTTCAAACCCCTAAGAACTGCGAGAAAGACACCGTCCCACACCGAACTGGATTTCACTTGGAGAAAGTCGTAAGGCCAGGAGCCCCGTTCGTAGCGATGCCCTGGCCTGCTCCGTTCGTCGCGTTCATTCGCTCCGTTCGTCCGTCGTGGTCGCCCGGAACCTTCCGGTCGCGTCGTCGTCTCGGTCCGCCGTCGGCGAGTCGTCTCGGTCCAGCGACGTCAGCAGAGATGCCCTTCCAATCGACGAAGCCACGCAAGGGCAACACCAAAAAGAGCCTCGGTGAGGGGAGAGGACGGACCCATCTGCTGTTTCTGGTTTTTTTTCCTCCAGAACAATGTCAGAGCAGTTGGTCAACAATGATATATATTTTTTAACATATCCTAGAGGTCCTATCTTCTCGACTTTCTGATGCTTCTCGACACTTTGATCCTTCTCGTCCCGCCGTGCCTCTGCCTGCCCTCGTTCCCCGTCGGGGAGCAGGAAGGGAGGCAAAAAGCCGATGAGCCAAGTGCACCACACCACTCGTCGTGAGGACCTGGACGTTGTGAGCACTGAACTCGGCGCGGAACCCGCGGGTGTTCGTGGTTCGTTCCACGCCGGCGTTCCGAGGGTTTCAGGTTCTCGAGGGTTTCATGCCGTGAAAACGGATCGAATGGATCGGTTAGAATTTGGAGATTGGGAAGAAGACATCGATTCGATTCGATCGATGCACATGTGATTTTTTTTTTTTTGAGAAGACCATGACACACCCACATCGGGGTGAACTCACCATAACTCGCCAGCATCTGGTTGGGTCTGCGTGATCACAGGCCAAAGCAAACGGATCTTGGCAAGAAAACGATCAGGCAGCCCCCCACAAGATTCCCAAGTTCAGTACCAATTGAGGTATGTCCAAGGTCATGACCACCAGGCAAAAAACATACTGCGTTCAGGTCACTAGCTAGCTTCGATCAATCACTTGCTGACTGCAGATGAGCTATGAAAAGGTGTGCCTATCAGATGTTCAAGTATAATGTGAAGACATCTTCCCTCCCAGGTTTTACAAGAAACGCATTCGTACAAATGCTCCAGTCATCGCCTACGCAAAAACATCATTTATCAGTGGTTCTATCCCATACCCCTTACATATCCCTTATTACCTGCTACAAAGAACACTACAGTAGTAGCAAGTGCATCGCTATTAGTAGCTAATTGGCTACTAGAGATACCGCGATGCACCAATAGCCAAGAAGAGCGATGCACCTTTCGCGCGCGTCCCCCGTCGTCGACACGCGATGCACCGCTACGTACTACGTTCGTCGCGTCCGCTCGATCGCTGGCGCCTCACATTGGAGATCGCCCAGCTCGGCATCGCCCAGAAGCCGCCCAGAGCAAGGCCTGTCCCGGACTGAGGTCCCAGAAGGGGGAACAGTTCGAAAGGGCGACCGAAAACATGTGGTTGTGGAGCACTCAGAGGCAGACGAGAGGCAAATCATCTAAGAATCTATATATAAGGTAGGACATCCCTATCTTGGATGAATCTTCAAGTTCAGCTTGTCAAAAGCCAGATGCGAAAACAATTGAAAATAGGAAAGGCATCAAGATAGAGCAGCAAATTTCACTTCTGCCGCCTATGGCCAAGAGCACCAGAATTGCCCAAGCAGCAATATCAATGCCTCACGGCCACACGTCGTTTACAAGGGTTTTACATGTTATTTTTTAGCTGTACAAGCCTGCTCGAACATCTTTAAGCGTGGCTCGAATAAAATTTCGCTGAAGCTGTGTTTCACAGGTTTCCAGCCGGTGGACCACCCGCCACCTTGCAGAACTTGGATCAGCGTTCGGAAGCGCGCCACCGGGACGCCCGCTGGGAGTTGGCCTCGACAGAGGGCTTCACGCGTTCGCGAGCGAACGAGGAGCTTTCGGGCGAAGGAACTGGTGTTCTGTCATAAGCGTGTTACGTAGCTTCTTGCTTCCTACTAGTAAGGCCAGGAGCCCCTGCTACTTAGCGTTGCTGCTAGTAGCGATGCCCTTTGCTCCGTTCGTAGCTTCTTGCTACTAGGGTGAGAGTTCTGGAAAAAAGGAAGAGAATGGCAGAGAAGTGATACAGTTTGTCCAAGAACGTGAGCGCACCTTTTGGTGCATGGGACTTACTGTAGTTACCTGGGATTTATGCGTGCAAGTTTTTGAAATATCAGTTCCATCCAGTTCCAACTAGTTCAACTTGGAGTAATTACTATAGTTTGCTACATGTATATTACAGTATATAACTATTTGGCCTTGTAGTCTTTTCATGCTTCCCACTGGGGAAACGGCCTCTGGACTCTCGACCGGTTCCGCCCAGCAGCGTGCGAGGAAGGCTTCGTAGTCCGCATTGATCAGCCACGGCATCCCCAAGAGTGCACTGAGGATGCCGAAGAATGTGCCCACCAAGAGATAGGAGAAGCGCCAGGAGAGATAGGGACCTGAACGGGCTGATTTCGCACCCACCGAAAACGCTGATTTCGGACAGAAATTGAGATATTCACCTGCGGCCTTCACAGAACAACATCAAACAACCACTGTGACTTCATCAGTTTCATCTGCGTTAGCGTTTTGGAAGATCCTTTATTTATGGATTTTCTGCCTGATTTGGTGATTGTTCAAACCCTTCGTTTCTTTCCAGGAAATTCAGATCCTCTTCCTCACTCCACCCAAGATCACTGACTACCAATTCAACTAACCAGCTTGGCTGACCACTGCCCAATTTACGCTGCTGGACTGGCAGCAACGATCCCTTTGATCACTCTACGCCGATCCTCTGGTTCCTGGCCTACCACTCCAGAACTGAAGCTCTCCTCCGCCTGGTACTTCAAATGCTGGGCAAAGCGCCCCGAAGTGGCTTCTGCGGCGTCATCCCACCTGACAGCGCCAACACAGGTGCGACGGAGTCGGGCTGGGGACTCGGTGAGAGCTTCGTTTTTTCTCGAAACCTATAGAAGTCTGACTATAAAAGAAGGCTGGGATTTTATATTATAGAAATTTCTACCATAAGGAAAAGATAACCTGTAGATAAAGACCATATTAATATTAATGGCTCCTTAAAATTATAGGAGCAAATAAGAGGAAATATAGACAATTCTAACATCTTGATGGTCCCTTTTGGGGAACCCAGGTGTTGTCCGTTTCCCTTCGTTTGGGGAATTAATTTCTTTGAGGCATTCAAGAAGGACGTCGTCAGGACAAAGGCACAAGGCATTTCGTAAGATGCCATAGATGAAATTGAAGATGCCACACATTGCAAGGCAAATCTGTGGGACAAGCAAACAACATTCAACGTGTGGCTGTGAACAATTGGGATCCTTATGGATTCTTTCAATCTTCCAACTTATCTGCTAGATGTTTGAACGTCATGGGTTGAGTCGATCGCTATTTCTGGGCACCAGGCCACCAACCATTCGTCCTCATTCACATTTGTCTTCTCGTGCCGGAACTCATTCTCATTCACTTGAGCCGATGTGGAGCGAGGTGCAGAGGTCCCGTTCCCACCGGCCCCCGGAAAGCCGACAGGGCGAGAGAGGCGCCAACAGATTGATCTTTCTCTTTCGTTTTTTCAAAAGACTCCGTCAGACGGTTGAAGCGTTGGTGTTTTGGATGAAGCAACTAATCTTGGATATTCTCGATTTTGGACGTTTTGAATGGCAAACCATGGCAAGCCATGGCACGCCTCAAAGCATCTTAAACCTATTAACAAGACAGCGCTCGTTCAAGTCCACGCCTTTCAGTTCACCCAACCCTCCAGCACATTCAATCACATTCTCATCAAATCTGTACTCCCCTTCGACTCCCGTCCAGTGCCTTGCACTTCTGGTTGTTCTTCTATAGTATTCATGCAGCTCAAAAAAACGACACCGCCACCCTCCCGGCTTGTGGAGGGGCCAAGCCGTATCCAACCGCCCACCGTCCTGTCCATGCGCAGCTCACTCGGGAATGCGCCTGCACGGCAGCACTGCCGTGTCGCGACGCTCGGACATGCAAATGGCCTCAGCCGCCGCTCGCGCGCCGCGAGCCTGCGGCGGTTCCCGGACGAACGGTTGCCGTGCGTCCCGAATGCTTCGTAAGGTGCCGGGGGGACGAAGAAGTTCGAACATCAACGTGCAATGGACTGAAGACATGTTTCGTTTTTTGGTTTAAGCTTCTTCAAAAAAAAATGTCACATTTCGACGAATTCAATGCCAGGCGCACCTGCACAGGATCTGCAGCTTTACAGGACTGGTGGATTCGAACAATGAAACACACAGCAGTGCCATGAAAGATTCTGCTCCGAATCAAAAAACAAATCTATTTTCCCCCCCATGAACTGAGCGGCATCCCAAAAGAACATGCCACCGGTGAGGTCGCATGTGATGCCGCCGGGGCAAACCCCCCCAAAACCTCCCATCAACGAGAAAGAGCGATGTTTTTGGAAGCGAAGTCGGACTTGAGAGGCCTGGAGTCTGGAGGGTGAAGGAAAGCTAGCCACTGCGAAGCAAGAGCGACGCCAGCTAGCTGAGGCTAGCTTTCGTGATCAGCTGGTGAGTAGGTGAGGCAATCTCATGAGCCACCATGGGGATTCTTCTCCACAATGCTGTTTGATCTTTTGGGAATTAGCGGATGAAGATGATGAGGATGATGAGCATGAGGCAACTTGGAAGCTGGAAGGGTGAAGGAAGCAGTGGTATGAGGTGATAGGCTTTGCAATTGCTCGGGTGGTAGGTATGAGAAGAACCATGGGGAATAGGTATGAGAACAACCATTGTAATTACCACAGACTTTGGCTCATCAGCGCATCAGCTTGTTTCAGAACATCAGCTCATCAGTCCGTAAGCAGCAATGATTGGTGCCATGGGGGCAGTGGTGCCATGATGAGTGGCCTGGTGATGTACATGAAGAAGATGATGAAGGATGAAATCATCCAATCAGTGGATGGGCTTCATGAGAGCGTGGGCACCATTGAGGTGAGGTTGGAAAAGGACACGACTCTCGTCTTACAAGGCTGCGGCCACATTGGGATTTCACTAAGAAACGGTCAGGGGGGAAGGGGGGAGTTGAACCCTCGGAGGGGGGTCGGGGCCATTTGAGATCTGTGAGGTGCCGTCCACCCCGTCAAACAACTTGCTCAAGCAGCGACTCCAGCTAGCTGAGGCTAGCTTTCGTGATGTTTGACCTGTTGATTTCTGGGACGGAACACCGTGCTCAGCTTTGGATCGTGAACTCTGAGCCGCCCATCGAACTCCATCGAACGAAGGAAATGCGGTTTTGGGCTTCCCATGCACATTCAGCTCCATTGCTGCCCTCCGAAGGGTCTGCGCCGTAGACCTTTCAAGAGTTGCAAAAAGGACAGGGCCCCGGTCCATGGACCGGGAGTGGATCAGTTCTTGAGCAGTTCACCCTGTTTCAACATGTTTCAACAACATAGTGGGGTCATGATGTTGCACAATTCATCCAACACACAACACTCAACTAGACTCAACGCATGTCTATATATGTGTGCTCTTCCTTAAGCCCATTGGATGTGGGGACGTGAATTGACCTCTATTCTTTGGAAGTCTTTGGAGCACTACTGCTTTGTCAGCAAGCCCGCTCTGTTTTGCTCATCTGCTCGTGGCTTTCGGCACAGGTGTAGATACCTTAGAACTTTGATGCCCTTCAAAGGGTGCGGAAAAAAGACATGAACTCACCAAACGCCGCAGGACACGTCGAGATGCAATTCATGCAATTCATGATCGATTCTTCCGTCGCCGATAGAGAGGTGAACATCTGCAAAAGGTCAACTAACGCTTGGAAGACCTCTGCAGCTTGGAAGACCCTGCAAGCATGAAGACATATGTGCTGCATACTATGCTTGTACGAACATGCACTGGAGTCGAGTCTAGTGGGTGGAAACGATTTTTTTGCGCAGCAGTAATATCTGGTTTGGGAACATGCAAACGAAACACGCATGGGAGGTCAGTGTGCTAAGGTCTGAGGCGGTCTGATTGCCAACACGGTCAGAATGTTCTTCCATGTTTCATTCTTTTTCCTTGCACAGGAGAGACAAATATGGATACATGGGCCAAATGAGACAAATAATCCTAATATTACTAGTAACAAGTGCCTTACTAGTAGCAAGAAGCTAGTAGAAAGAAGTGCCACGCTACTAGGAACAGGTGCCTTACCATCCGGTTCTTGGGACTTTTCTCACTCAGATGGTGATTCCATCTGCGAACGACTTCCCACCCTGACTCCACGATGCGCTTGGGAGGCCGGTGCTGTGGCCCAAGGATCTCCGTGACTCGCCAAATCAAACCTGCGCCACCATCGACGATCACCGCCGTCTGAAGGGATCACGGGATGGGATAGGTGGCGTCGTGATTCCACGTGATTCCACAGGTCTATATATTCAAGGACCTGCTTGGATTGATGGGTTCTTATATGTAGTTCTTCTATGTTCTTCTTTGTTCAAAAATGGGCCAAGGAACAGTCAGGCTTCTGTTAGGCCCGCTTCTTTTGCATGCGCCAGCATGCTTCTTGACCGCTTGACATATAGTTTGACATCCATTCACATCATTCACAGTCGAACTATGTCTGAAGCTGCGGTCGGGAGGCAACAACCCTTCTGGCTCTGGAAGAATCGTGGTATTCACCTGGGCGTGTTTTCTTTTCTTGCGAACGCCTGGCTTTCAAAGGCTCTTTGTTTCAGTGAACTCGAGTACAAGACCATCACCTCAACACCTCGCCACTCGCTTGGGACTTCAACATGTTCTGAGTACGCAGCACTCTCCCAGTCCACGCAATGTAAATATTGCGGCTTCCTTTTCGGCGTCACCATGGCATAGAGCCCCCCGTGTGCCAGGACTCGAAAGACTTCCTGGACAACGACGGCCGGTCCCGGAAGCGTCCTGGGTGGTCACGTCATCACCGACCTGCTATACCGGCCATGCGCTCTTTGCTCCAGTTTTGGAGCATGGACCGTCCACGATTGTTTTAAGCAAGACATCTTTTAACAAGAAAAACCACGCATCTTTCTGATGGTTTTTCACGACTTGGCAACGCCCACTTCCATTCTACGCCCTCTACATACCGGGTCCTTGAAGAGGCGCTGCCGCAAATCCCGGGACTCTCTCGTGCGGGCGCGGAATTGCCTTCGACGACCGAGCGAGACAGCGAGGCTCGGCTCGGTTTGAGGCGTAAGATGAACAAGAGACGCGCTTAGGCCGCTTAGGTGTGCAACATGGTACAACATGGTGGGTATGGTTTGGAGAGCTCATTCAATCAAACCGTGGCACTCCCATCCGTCCAATCTGAGTGGCAAAGTATCTGCAAGTCCCTTGTCCACGACCGCGTCGACCGAGTCATTCTGGAAGAGTGGCCCTTGGATGCTTTGGTCGAGGCCACGTGCGCCACGTACGCCAACAGAGAAACAAGTGATGTTCACCTATAACATGTGACGATGTTCTGTTTTGGTGGTTTTGGGGAGGGACCTGGATGGACACGGTATGTAGATCCAGCTCGGTCTCTCACTCTGGAAGTCCTATTTATCCCCTAGAAGTCCAGTTCGACTATATTTTGACTGACTGAAGTAAAGGACATTCCTAGACTCGTGTCACCTAGTCAGACCATTCTTTTTATAGTCTTTGACTCCCAGGGTATCGTTATATTTGACTTTCTTTTCTGAGCCATCTGTGCATCCAAGCATCCAAGGTTTGTAGCATCAGCTCTCACAAACTGGAGAGAAGGCCTTGACAATCCCACAAGCGCGGACAGCTATTACATGCAATTATGATGTTTGCTCTATGACTCTATGACTCAATGTGCTACTGCTACTGTTTGACAGCAGCTGTGGCACACTAAAAACGGTCTCAAAATCCCCAAACAAGCAACAGTTCGCAACAGTTTACATAGTCCGAAGAATCTTCACCTACAAATAAGCTGACTTTACTACTGACCCGATCCAACTCTATAGATCAGGTCATCAAAGCCGGAATTGCTTCAGAGGATTTTGATCTTGGCTTGGTCTCCCAAATATCATATTCTCATGTGTCTCATCCGTTTTCATCCGCTCTCCTTTCCACCATGTTCCAATAGTACACCTTCACCCGCTCTGGTTTTCAGTACTGGCTGCCAGGTGCAAGCTACCCCTGAGCTACCCCACCAACGACTCGAGCGCTCTGTGGTCTGGAGCGCCTTGGAGGCGCGCTGGAGCGCGGCCTCGCAGATGTCCACCGCCACCACCGAGGCACGGCCATCTGGGGCGCCGCGCGGATAGCGCGCCGGGAGCGGTGGAGCCGTGTGGGTCGTTCTGGTGGTGGGTGGCGCGTTTCTGGCCTTTTTTTTTCTCATTTTTCTGGAGGTCAGGGTTGAGTCACGGGTAACCAATGGGATGATGGGTTGTGGGAGCACAGTGGCACATTGGCACACTGGATACATTAGCAGCCTCTGCGGATGCAGGTCGAACAGCAAACACATGCAAACACTGCTTGAATGACGGCACTTCTGACTGCGATCATCAGAGAACAAACATCGAACATGTCTCACGGACTTCGGACACCTCCCAGTGTCGCAGCGAGATGCTGTGCCAAAGAGCTATCGCCACAGCCAATCCTCAGCTCGGCCGTGAATTTTCGGCAGCGCCCGGGCCGAATGAGGGCCGAATGGGCCCCGCGCGAGACCTCTCACTCGGTGAGACGGTTCGCTGCCTTTTTCGATGTTTCCCACGTAACTACAGACCTTTGATGACTGTACACGGACTTTTTCTTGACGGGATCCGATGTCACGTCCGACATCTTCCGTGGTGACATCACGTGGTCGGCCAAATGAATCCAAATGACCAAATGCGAGTGCTCATTCTCACGGTACTGACATTGTTACTGTGAACTGCACATGCGTCAAACCGAAATCAAGAGACTCCAATACCGTCTCTGGCCGCGGTTGAAGAGCCTAGAGCAGCAAACGTTGAGCAAAAGATGCAATCTTCTTTATGACGACTAAAGTTGAAAGCAAAAAGACGTGTGCAAAACATAAAGTTACATTGCCGCGCCGTGACGGTGCTTTCTCAGGGTTGTTTGTTTCATCTCTTGTTTCCAATGTGTTCTTTGAAAAGAAGTTCTTCTCACCCGAATTTCACCACAGCAAGTGCTACAGCCTCGGAGAGAAGCGGAAGAATCGCCGAAGGCGCTGCAATCCACTCTGTCTCCTCAGCAAAAAGTCATCAAAAAGGAGAGCAAACGTGGAGCCAAGAATGAGCAAACCAAACCATCACACAAAGAATACTCGTTCTTCACAAGTCACGGTCCATCACGTTGCATCGCGAAGCATGCCCTTCCCCGCTCCCTCGCTCCCTCCTCTCTCCCTCCGCTCCTGTGCTACTCGCTCTGGTGAATAAAACCTGAGGGATCGCGGCAGAGGACCACGACATGGAGTCTTTACCCCATTCCGGACGCAGGGTGGCAGTTGGGGTGGCAGTTGGGCTGCTTTGGAATCCAAAGTCAGAGGGCAGAAAATGCGTGTCTGCATGTGTATCTCTACTCAATCATTGCTCATGAGATAGTCTTTTGGCCTTTTGGAATGAATGCAAATGAACGCAGCTCCCTTTCGACTTGTCACTGCAACAAAGGTTTCTCTGCTTAACTTCCTGGTGCGCCTGGTGAATCTGCCAATTGATTTCTGCTCAGGTGATCCCGCACAAGTCGTGGGTCAAGGTGGCTGATGAGATCAAGCTCAAGCTAAATCATCTACAACTCACATCTTGGGACTAGTCCATACAGCTTGAGCTTTGGGACTAGCTTTGGGTGGAATCCTTTCTCTCAATGGCCTTCATCCCTCAAATTCCAACCTATCCCAAATATACCGCTTGATGATGTCACTACAAAATGCTTAAAGGATGTTAAAGGAAGAAGCGAACCGAGTTCACGGAGCAACGCACGGGCAAATTACTACTGAACGGAAGCGAAAAAACAAACGCGAAACCCAACGGAGGGAGCAAACAACTCCATCCGACTTCCCTAAACAGGCGACCTCCGGATGTCACCGGATGTCACCGGATGGTCATCGGATCCGGTCTCACCACTCGGTGGAACCGACGGTGGAAACCGAGGAAAAAAGGAGTTCAGCATCCGGAGCCGACATCCGGAGCCCAACACCACCAAAGAACCTGCGTTCCACACCTGGCAGGTTGGGATTTCTCATGGACTTCGGTCTTCCGGTCTCCGACCGGTCGTTCCGGTCGAATTCGCCATGGCACCGCTCCCAAAAGCGCGCCGCGCGGAAGGCTTGTCCACCCAACTCGCCGGCGCGCAGCCAGCGGTGGCGTCCTGACCAGTCGGTCACCAGGAGACCTTCGTTGACCTACCTCGACGGTCGTTCGCTGCAGGTAGAGTATACGACCCAACCCCATAGGGTGTAGGACTCATGTCCGATTTCGAGGGAAAAGAGTCACGGCATCGAAGCCAAATTCCTTTCGGCCCGTGGTTGCATCTTTGGGAGTAGAAAAAGACGTGAACAAAAAGACTCCAAACAACAATCCCGTTCTATGTTGCATGGAGGGGTAGGACCCCCTCAAAATAAAATAGAATCAGAGTAAGACTCCAAACAACTATTTTTCAGAACCCCCCGAATGGTTTAGGGCTCTGTCCATTTCTGACACCTCCTCGAAGTCTCGGGCTTCGGTCCATAGCAGGTCACACGCGTTGTCCGCAAGACGCCACTCCTGCCGCATTGGACAGAACATCGACGTCCGATTTCAGCAAAAGTGTGGGATCTTGTCACCACTATGGGTCAAATCATCGCAACATGCACCATCTTATCACCATGTTTTTGGACATGGCCCATGATCTCTAGAATGTAATGGAGAATGGAGAAGTTCTGATTCACTTCTGAGAACGCCGTTTTTCTCTTCTGAGCCGTTCCTGAGAGTCCAAGCCAACGACCTGGTTGTCCCCACGATCACCTCGTCCCAAGCGGCCCGGTGCGCCGGACCGGATGGAGCCCCGTGCGTCGGACGTGCCGTGGCCAGGAAGACACGTCGTTCGTCTCGAGCACTCCAAGTAGGACTTCGTTCGTTTGGTTATCCAAAGAAGGGCTTCGTCGAGATTTCTTCAGCAACTCAAGACAAGCATAGGAGTCAAGAGAAACACACATGCATAGCAGGATTTGTAGCATGGAAGAGCCACCAGGGCTGATGGAGGGTAGGGTGAGCTACCAGGACCTCAGGCTTCTTTTGCGACGCCGCGACGCCCACAAGTTCACACGCAGATTCCAAGACTTCAAGTGGGAACCAAGGCAGAATCAAAATCAGTTGCAAAGATGACAATCCCTAGGGCTCCAAGTACCTTCTAAGAAGGTGGGACTGGGGTGGGTTTAGAGGGTCCAGTCATACCTTCTGAGGAGGTACTTGGAGCCCTAGGGAATAACTGGTCAATCCTCGGCTCATGTAGAGAATGAGATGAGACCACGTGGGTGGGAGTGGAGCGCCCATGTGCTGTCCAAGACACAAGAAGGCATGACCAGCGCAGCGCCCATTCTCGCAGCTTCTTCTTTGGGTCATGGCTCTTCATGCGTCCGTCGCAAAGGAGCACACACGCAGGTATCGAACAAATGGTGCATACTTTTTTGTATATAACACCACACACACACACACAGGTATCGAACCATCGCAGGTCAGCTATGATTTTTGTTCAGCTTTGAGCAGCAAGACTTCTTTGACCAAGATAAAACAGCAAGTACTCAGCAAGTTTCACGCATGCTGCAGCAAGAACCGCATGCCCCGGAGCGGTGCCTCGTACATGGAGTAGCATGGTGCCAGTGAGTTATCGGGAAGTTTCACCTGAAGTGTAGATCAGAAAAACCAGCTGTCGGTCCTTTCCAAAGACTGTCACAAGCATTGCTACATGTCAAAAGCAACTACCGAACATCGGAGATCATGGTCCAAGGTCCATCCACTGGTCCATCCATGTCCATTGCAAACTTCACCCTACCAATTCGCAGTCCACGTTTGAACCGTTTGGCTTTTCCATTTGGCATCCGGTTTCTCTCTTCCGTCTCTCTACTCTGGCCGCTGTTGTACCTGTTCCACCGCTTCCGCGTCCGGTGCCGTCCGTCCGACCGTGCGTCCGCAACGCGGCCGGGCCGTCCGTCTTCTCGGACACCACGCCGATTGCGACAGGATCTTCGCCTCCACGACCTGCGACCGACGCACGGGAGGCCGGGTGATACCCCCATCTGACGTCGGGTCGTCACACGTGGCCCGAGAGCTACCGGAGCGGAACATAGAGAGACGCGAATGCGAAGGTTGCAGGCCATCGCAAGTAGGTTGGAGGCCATCGCTACTAGTTTTGAGATGGTTCTTCATCTTCAAGTGAGGAATAGAGCATTTTCGATTGCAGAGTCGACTCCTATTAAATCTATATGGTATTTATATATAATTTATTATGTTTTGTTTTAAACAAAGCAAAGCAAACCCAAAAATCTGAAGACTTTGAGTTTGATACAATTTGACCAAATTGGAGGCTGATATAGGCCAGGCGGATGTTTATTGAACTCACGGATATTTCACCAAAATATACCAAGATCATGTTCGACATATGTCGATATCATTCGACCAATAGGTCAACAGCTTTAGCAATGACACATTGCATGTCACACCCAAAGAAATGATTCCTTTGGCCTCTGGTGAAGAATATTTTTCCTTGCATCCAACCCGCGTATTTTGCGCGCTTTGCGCACGGTAAATCGATATGAATCGCGATCTCCACACCTCTGCAGGGTTTTCGGCCATGTCCATACTCACCTCTGCCGACGGACGGCCATTCGTAGCGTCCGTTGTAATCCGTCCTGTGCATGAGCAAGTGTGCAATTTGGCTGGCCGGCTTGGTCCCTGCAGCGTGCCTGCTACAAGGTTTCATGAAAAGAAATAAATTCGGTGTACAGTATATATCTTCAAAGGGGCGACCAAATCTAACCCAAGGGGTTTTGATAGGGTCTTGGCCCATTGGCCCATTTTCCTCCTTCCAAAGCCTTCCAAGACGGATGGCAACCGAGGACGACTGCCCTCGTCGACCGCACGGTCCCACACGGGCCGGACCGCCTGGCCACAGTCCCTGCGCACGAAGCGTCCCGTGGTCCATTCGGCAGCGAGGCTTCCTGGAGAGCATCGCATGGCATCGGTTGCGCAGGTGGAGCAAAGCCTGTGAAGCCGCCTGTGAAGCCGGTCACAGCAGAAGCAGATTCACTCGACTCAGATGATCGTGTGTGTTTGCATGTGAACGTTCAAGTCTTTAGCACGGCTTGAGACAACTAACAGCAACACGGAAGCCCAAGGCTAATGTCCTTGGCTAGCATCATCATTTCTGGCCATCCTTGGTTCTGAATCCCGACTGAGATTTCCCATCGCTCGATTGCGATGTTCGAATCTGTGTAGGTACGAAGGCCCAAGCAGCTATCGACCCCGAGTGCAAGCACTATTATTGGCCTGTAGACTAGACTCATTACAGTATCAGTATCTCATTGTAGGAGCCTTTTTTCATCTCCTTTCCATAGCTGTCGAACTTGCCGAGCGGCGTTGGATCATCTTCACCTGCAGCTATGAAAACGCGGCCGATGGCCATACATTGATTACACAGAGACTCCATGAAGTCGAAAACATGATCTCAAACAGATCAACAGTCAGCTGCCAGAAAAAGCACCAGTGGTCGGGTGAAAACACACGAAAAAACACCAAAAAAACAGAAACATAAACCAACGTGATCGACTGGACCTCCTTCTTCATGTGTTTTGGGTCTCTCCTTGTTGCCTTTGGGTCTCTCTGGGCCCCGACTGGGCCGTCGTCGTGGCTTGTCGCCGGGACGGGCCTGACTCGGGGGTCCGACCATGTGGCGAATGCTTGGAGCATCCAGTTTCACAGATCGCTAGCTGCTGTACAATAGCACTTGTTCACTTGTTCGATGATGAACTCCAAAGAAAAGCATGGCTCACATCAACTTGTGGTCGCATCCTTTTTGTTCGGCACCGTTGAATTTCTGAGGGACTTTCCATGGATTCCCTATAACTGGAGATGACTCTATCCAAAATATACACCCTAGAAGTCCAAAGACTATTGATTACCCAAAAAACTCTATAAGTTGACAGTTTTAAAGCACTGGACATTCGAGGCATGTATCATAGATGTCCAGATTCTGACCACCTCGACTGCTGTTCCAACACTCTTCCGCCGCCTCCGTGCTCTGCGACCGCGAGCGCTGCGGCGATGGAACCTGCCTGTCCCGGCCTCGAGCGGCAAAGGGACCGGGCGGCCCTGGTTCTTTTTCAAGACAGGCGGGGGGTACACACAAAAATAACTCCTTGTTCAGTCTCGAAGTCTGAAATGTAATCTACTAAGAGTCAATCTATATACGTCAATATGATTCATTATCTCATTAACTTGCTTCCTTCATCATCTTTATTTGTGAAGCCACTTGAACTTGAAACTTATCCTTCCCGCACTCTACCAGAGTCCCTCGCAAATTGCGACCTTCTGCGACGAACCATAACCATATTGACAATATGCGACCGGCCTCGTGTAGGAGGGGACACATGGCTAATTGCTGGTGCAGCACATGGCACAATTTTGCAGTCTCCGTGTCATGGCTGCCGATGCTTCTCTCAACTGAGCAGGAAACCAACCATGGTGCACAGCGACAGAAATTCGACCGATTCGAGGTCAACGACCGGACATGTGGTGGAACTGGAACTGGGCATCCCCGCTCACGGAACTACGTCTTGACTTCACCTGAGAGGCGGGCGTTCCGAGTCTGCGATCGGACCTTTTAGCAGCACTGAAGAGGTGGGGTTGTTCCCGTTGATACCTCCGAACCGGTTGAGAGGTTGAGAGAGAACTAGGACCCTGTAGTGACGGTACATATGGGATGGGATATAAGGCTGTTCAAGCTCTCTTGGAATATCTAACTATAGGTTGTAGGCAGTTGCCTGAGAGAAGGTCATTTGCAAGGGTTTTCTCACCTAATTATGGGCTATTTGATGCTATTTGCATGCGGAATATTGTGTCCGCGTGGTGCAGCCAACCACTGAAGCAGTGAATTGTAATGGATGAACTTAAGCAAGTGTGAGGATCTCTTCCATCAGTGTCAGCATGCAGCCGGCAGCTCTGTCTTGAGAAAAGCATATGTCTACACAGTCCTGCCAGACCTTTGCCGGACTCAGCACCGCTACGCAGCTACTTTGGGATCCCCGCAGCTTTCAGTTCGATGCAAAAGCCTAGTTGACTCGCCAGCTGCTCAAGCGAGACAATCCAACTTTGTTCGATGCAGCCAAACGACACACTAAACACCAAACGTGAAAGTGACTGACAGCTCGATCACCGCGTTCCGCCAAATCTGACATGAGTCTCTACCACAAGCCACAAGCCATGGCATCCATCAACTACTGTTTCTTGTGCCTTGGGTACGAGGACGCAAGCCTGCGCGCGACACGAACACGGCAAATGCACGATTTCTTTTTTCAGGTGACGGTGCACAAGGGGCGCAGGGGCCGGAGTGGAAGAACAGAACAGACCCTACCAAGGAGAACATGTCCACTGGTCGTTGATTTCAGAATTCCAGAAACTGCTAGGCGAAGGCTCAAAACAGTCCACATCATTCTAAATCCATCCTCACACGCAAGTTTACTTGTTGCCATTATGGATCGATGTCCCGATATCGACCTTTTTTTGCACATGACCCTTGCGCATGCTGCTGCGGCCTTCGTTGAAGGTATCCAGAACATTCTCCGGCTGTGCCTCAAGAGAATGTCTCTCGGACTTCCTCCTCTCGTCTAAGATAGGGACGAGATAGGGACGAGAACGGAAGGTTATGTCCCGAATTCAGTCCAACAACTCGAGGTCTCTCCCATCAGTGACTGCAACGTCTCTAAGAAAACCAGGTGTGGGATGATTCCACACCTTAACATTTCTAGTACGTGGATCAACATATGAATTAAACAACTCTAGGGCCTCTAGGGTGAGTAAAGATCCAATCACTCCAGTGACGTGACCCGACGTGACTCCTGCTGTGACTCCCTCCAAACCCGACTGGGAAACCCCGCCTCGGCGACGAAGTCCCCGAGCTCGATGGGTCCACGGAACTCCTGGAAGACGACAAGACCGAAGCGGATCGACCCTGCAGGGATCGCAGGGAATCGCAATCCGAGCTTCCAAAGGTAGTGCAACAAATGTATACATCTAGAGCTATAGTGTGTATGTTCTTTTTTCAGCTGAACTGGGAGCTGCTGAGATACCCATGCAGCCATGGCAGGGTGAATCTGTGGCACTGTGGGATGTTGAGGGACGACCCGGTGTACCCGGTCTATGCAAACGATTGGCCCTATTCCAATTCAATACCCCAAACCGTTTCAAATCCTTCGGTTGAAGGGTCGTGCGATGCCACCGGCACTCGAAAAAAAGGTTCCCACGGGCGCCACCGTGGTTTGGATGCGCCACAGCGCCATCGAAGAACTATCCGTGCCAGCTCAACAAAGCGGTAGCAGCAGCATTTCAATGGTGGCAGAACGATGTTGACATTGTGGCAGAAGGCCCGACATGCACCAGTTGACCGTTGTCATGGGTGCAAATGCAGCAAGATTGCAAATATATATTATACTAACTATATAAAAATATATATATCCTATATACTAACTCTATTGCATGTTTTACAAGCTCTAGAATGTAGAAATTTCTAGAATCTAGATCCATCAACTTCCGAGCTTCCGCCGCCCTGACAGTGCGTTCTGCCTCCGCCAACAAAATCGCCCAACCCATGAAACTCTGCGACGTACTGTCTGTGCAGAGCCCCTCAGCCACCCTGAAGCAGCCCTGCCATTGCTTTCTGAATCCTCCGTTGCCCTTTTGCTCCTAGTAGCAGTAGCGTCCTTGTTCCTGTAAGGCCAGGAGCCCCTAGTAGCGTCCTTGCTTCTAGTAGCGATGCCAATCCGATGTCGCTGATCTTCATTCCATCAAAACACACCAAAACACACCAAAAGCCAATGACCGCAACCCGTCTGAAACCTTCAGAAGCGGGCGGTCCTGGTTGAGACCTTCACGGAATTGGACAGGCCTGGAGACCCAACCTGGCGGTCGAAACGAGCCGTCCGTCTGGCGGAAGAGGTCTCTGCACAGCTAAGTCTTAATAAGTCACATATTGTCACATAGCTGGTCTCATGTCATGTCTGGTGTCTCCGACGTGATCTGAACTGCTGCTGGAGATGAATCAATCCAGGCTACTAGAAGATGCTACGAGTAAGTACTGCATGTACTGCTATCAGTCTTATAGTAATGAATCCTCATCACCGTCGGTCGCCGGTGTGCCCCCGGACGATATTCGCCACTGGTCTCGGACACCACCACATCTGTCCCAGTCTCACCTGTGCATCGTTACATTGTTCTCCAAGCAAAGAACGGCAAGAACGAAGTAAACAGGCAAGGACATATGCAAACCTAGGCTGCTTTTTGCGATACATCATGCAATACCTCATGCAATATTGCAACACTGAGTCCAACCATCAGCTGTGCTGGGCCGATGCCCTTCGCCTCGCCGATGCGCGATGCGCCTCGCCTTCGGGATGCAAACTTTGTCGCACTTCCACGCTGCAGCGGCCCACATGCACCAGGACCTGCACGTCGCCACAGCTGGTCGAAGTGCTTTCCCACCACGCAGCTGGTAGAAGTGCAGTGCAAAAAGCAACATTGCAAAGGCTGCACATTGCAAAGACATGTTACTTATGAAGCACAGAACATGCGAAAAGAATCGATCTTGCCGAAGCAGTATGGCTCTCCATCCGTTTGTCAATCCGTTCGTTAAAACAAACCTGCTACACCGGTTTGGGACATCTGTACGTTCGTCCTTTCTTAGCCAAAACCGAGGGACGGGGGGGGTCTCCCTATTAAAACACACTGACTTTAGCCTATTAACACACACATTTACTACGAAAAAGGTACTCATCTACCTCAACCCTCCGTTTTCGGGGTGTCCTGGCTGGACTACCCCACACTACCGGCCGTTCGGCTTCCAGACAGGGCACCCCGACTGGAGGGTCCTGGTATTCTATTCTCATAGCGTCCACATGCACATTCTTCTTGGAGCATCGCATCGCTCTTTGACCGGATGCCGACCGGTGTTCGGGCACGGCCACGGCCACGGCCGGTTCGGGCGGCTCGGCGGGTTCGCCTCGCAGGACACGAGGGCATCAAAGATGAAGCTGAGCTGCCACCTTTGCGAGTCATTCGTTGTGGTAACCAAACAGAAAATGTACCATTTCTGTTGCTCATAATATGTAAACACATGTCATGGTTGTTCATAATAGTTATACTTATTATATATATATATATCATATATCTAGTATGCTCATCCGACTTCGTCAACGTTTCAAAGTGCTGGTCCGTTCCTGGGTTTCGCCTGACCAAACAATGGCCTTGCGGCAACGGTCCGGATTCGTCCTGAAAGGATGGTAGCGCACTTTCGAGAACTTCTCTCGACTTGTCCAAGCTACTAGTAGCTCCTGGCATTGCTACTATAGGAGCTTTTTTGCTACGAAGGTAACAAGAAGCTACGCTCGTAGCAAAGGGCAAGCGGGCACAACATGGCACAACTTGGATTCCCTGCTGTCCGACTTCATCATTCTGAGCACAGCTCAGCTGTACACTCTTGGCGCGGACCTCAGTCGTGGAAGCCCGGACCTGCTTTCGGGCCAGCATTGTTCTCAGCTTTTGATTCTCAAACTACAAGGATGCTGGTTGGCACGGACATCTTGCATCATCTTGCAACTTGCGAGCAGGTTCAGGTGACATCTGACTTCGCTGACTATGTGTTGCACGCATCGTTTTCTTGATCGCTGATTATGGCCCTTTTGTCTTGCCACACTGGACAGGTTTCCATGTCGCATGTCGGACATATATAGTAACTGGAAGTGCTCTTTGTATCCACAGTCAGCATTTGGCCATGCAGTCAGCAAAAAGCTGCGAGTCTTGTGACAATCTACAATCTGTAAGACTGCTTCGACAGTGCGCGTAAGTTGCCGGCATGCAGTGGATTCTTGAAAACCTCACCATGGATCGGGTAAAAGCACACAGGGAAAGCGGCCACTGTAATCCAATCGTGAAAGCGTTACCCGTTAGCATCCAGTTACGACAAAAGCATATATTGATAGACCCTCTATGCAAACTAAAACATAATTCTTGGCACTCACCTGCTCTCAAGCAAAAAGATCCAAAAGTGACAGCATGAGGCGTTCGCAGGTCCAGCATGTGTCTGAACAATGTCTGAATCCACTGACACCGATGGGTCTCAACATGTTTAACAGCATGAAACAGCTGAAATATCAGACATGAGGCCTACAACCTGGAGCTTTCGAGCACGGTATAATATACATGATGTATATATGAAGTCAATTCCTGCTGAAACGACACGAATTCAAAACAAACTACTCCACAGAACCAAATGCTTCAGCAAACAACTCTTGCCTTCTGCCACCTATATAAACCATCATCTACCCATAGTTTTTCTTCTCCTCACACCCTCTGCCGTCCTCGCTCCTTCACGTACCTCACGTACCTACCCACCTGCCCCACTGCCCTGCCTGCGTCTGTCGCAGCGAGGGCTGTTGCATGGGACGAAGCCCCAAGGCCGCTGGACCGCCTGTCTCCTACGAGCGACACCGGGGCCGCCCGGACGGACGGCGATGGCTCGGACCGCGATGGAACTGGCGTTGTCTGGGTCTTCTTTTCGAGGCCGAAACGGACGGAACGGTGGAGGAGGTTTTGGATGAGTGCTTTCTATTTGAAGGTGGGGGCCTATTGAGCAGGACAAAGGATGATAACTAATGATAACACTATAGTTCACTAGTGTTTAGAAGCATGTTGACTGTGAAAGAAGGCTGGGATGGGCTGGAAAATGTGGAAAATGGGCTGGAAAATGTGGGCCCCAACTCTTGAGGAGACAACATGAAGGTTCTGGTAATTGTTTGCATCCTTACACTACCTGAAATCATCATGGGCCCTTTCGTGGATGGCCCCTGGCATGACCATGAGACCAACCAGCTGGTGAACTCCACGTTTCGCCCAAAACGGCAGTGGACGAAGTGACGTCGTCACGACGAAGGACGCCGGAAGGACGGACGTTTCACCGAAAAGGACGCCGGAGACATCTGCCCGGGATCCAAGTACCAAAAGATCTGACTGGATCCGGACAGTGTCTGGGCCAATAACAGTGTCTGTCTGTCGAATACATCACCTTCTCAAAGGGTCTGTGGAACCCTAGGGCTGGATATGATCAAGCAAGCCGTTTAGCCCATCTGAACAGGGGTGAACCGTGTTTCTTTTAAATCCGAATTGGATTCATGGTTCAAGAACCAGTTCCTGTGACACATGATCGAGACGTTGGGTCAGCGAACCTTCCCAGTACCCTCCATATTGGTCTCTGGTCAGAAGAAATCTGTAGAACAACGCCAGGATAGCTCACAAGATCTCTGGCTATGTTGTTCCTTTTTGGCGAGAACAACATGAATCAATATTATCAGATTTGGCTAAATCTTAGAATCATTGAAGGGACACTCAGTCCATTCATTTCTGAGTAAGCCAGTCCACAAGTAAAATCCTTTTTGCTTTTTCAAACCTGGTAGAAACATGGCAAACATGCGGTTCCCGCTCCTGTCTCAGCTGCGACAGAAGCAGGACCTGTGCCCGCTGTCGCTGCTGCAGCCTCGTGAACGAGGCGAGTCGGAACACGACGTGCCCAAGTTCAAAGCCTTGAGCCTTTGTGAACCGTTTGAAGCAACACCTTTCTCTTTTGGGATCTTTCACCCAAACGTTGCATGGCACCACCCATGAGGGTTGTTTGCCATGGTGTAGACCCATTGTCGTTGGTTTCACGACCGAAGGTCGGTATACCGACCGCGCTGGACCACCGGCCACCCACTCGTTCGTCGACCGGCTGGCTGAGCTCTGAGTCAGACCCACTCGTCCCAGAAAACATCATGACCATGTTGTAATAAAACATGGTCATTAAAACCATAGTCATGGGTTGTAATAAACCATGACCATGTTTAAACACCATAGCATTTCGTGTTGGGCTATTAAAACCATAGCGTTTCTATAGGACGAGTGAATAGGACTTGTTTTGACAGACAGGCTGCCTTTGCCTGTGAGACCACGATCTTTCTAAGGGCAGAAGATCTTTCCATGGGGGGGTTGGAAAGCGCGACTGGCCAGCGATCCCTTCATGCCACGGGCGAAGGCAGAATAGACTAGAGGTAGATCAATTTTGAGTCAAGAAAAAGTCTTCGAGTCTTCCAGACTGCTGTTCCTTTCAAGCTCAGCAAATCGGTTCTCTATGTTCTCTTTGACATCGTGTCAAGCTGCTGTTCTCGTGCCATCGCACTTGGAAGCTCACCTAGCAGCAGCACGCGAAAGCAGTGACCGCTCGGACGGGGTTCACCCATCTCGTGTCCGGTCCGGGAAGATGCTGTGTGTTCATGCTGAAAGGCTCAGATTCGAACGGACACCGACACCGTTCCTGTGCCAACTGTGTGTTGGTTTTTGTGTTGATTATTATAGACGCCCCCTTTTTCACCAGGCGGAACGTCGGCTCTAGATTCAGATTCAGATCCTCCTCTTCTTTTCAAAGGTAGACAAGGATTCGCCACGAGCCCGGAGCCAGGTGTCTAGACGATCCATCCGTAGGGCAGGGCCTGGAGGTCCTGAATCTCCAACAGCAACGGGGGGGGTTTCCAATGGCTGTGTTGGTCACTCCAGTTGCATCCAGTTACCCACCATACCCCAAGTCCTTCAATGCCACACGCACAGTGTGATTATGATGCACGTGCAAGTGTTTCAATGAGGACCGGTGCATTTTTGATTCTATTTTCTCACATTTCGGCCATACACGTAGCACCCCCGCCATCGTTTTCATCATCGAATGATAGCAAGTTCCCCATGGCTCGTGGAAAGGATGCTGTTGCTCAAACGAACGATTGTCAGTCATGTCAAGTGTTTTTCCTGTTGTAGACATGCAACAAGGCTTGTGGTTGTTGGCTTGTAGATGCTAAAAGCAAGTGTCTGGTAGGAGGCATTGCGGCATGCGTTCTGTTGTGTTAAAGGACTCGATCGATCTGTATACAAAGTTTAGGATTGAACAAGAATGCTGACTGCGCATCCACATTGCTTTGTGCCATGTTTAGTAAACATGTTACCCATGTCTTCAGCAAGCCCTGATTCAAGGTTTCCGTCTCTTGTTCGTCACGTAAGAAGAAAAGCTATAAGAATGCTGAGTACATAGAAAATTCGCTTGACGGAAAGGCTACAGGACAGCCATTTCCAGTTTGTCAGGAAGCCCTCATGACTCATGAGCTTCTGAATCTCTAGGAAGGACACCCAGCTGAATGACTTATAACTTATATATATATATATAATACACTCAGAACTCTTGGCCCAAACTGTGGAGTGGTGTCGTTATTTTCTTCATTTTCTTATTATTGTCCTTGTTGTTGATGTTGTTGTTGCTTCTTCTTCTTCTTCTATCAGCAAAGACCTTTGTGACATGTGACGCGTTTTCAGGGTCTACAGTTCTGTGAGTTTTATTAAAAATCAATCAACAAACTCATTCTTTTGGTTGTTGTGCCACCCAACAGAGGTTGAAGAACCCTATAGACTATCCCAAAGGTACCCCAGTAAGGTCACTTAACCTCTCTTGGACAGTGGGATGATGGACGTTCGTCTTTTGTTGACTCGCCCCCCTTTTTCAAGACCTGTGCAGGATTTCGTAGTCACTCAATCATCTGATGTTGCGGCTTTTGCATAATTTAAGAAAGTCCTTCGGCATCCTTCCGTCTTGTTTGCGCTATTTTTGACCTGCTATTTCTCTGCAAGAAATCAAGAACCCACACCAGATGCCAAGGCTTTGTTGAATCGACCCCGGATACAAATCAAACACCGGCCTTTTTTTGCGAAGGCCGCCGAGCCGGCGCGGAACCGCTCAAGTCCCTCTTTCACCTGAGCTGGTGGCCTCTCTTAGGCAGTTGCTAAGTCGTGGCCGATGTCCATGTCTATAGATGTCTATAGATGTCCACGTGACTCTTACCAGGAACCGACTAATTAGATGACTACTTCGATTCTCGATTTTCGGACAAACGATGATACGCCCGATGCACAAGTTCGATGAAAAGCACGGTAGCGTCTATTTCGTCATTCTTGCGAACGAGCACCTTCCCTCAGGTGGTATTGAGCGTCGCTCAATTCCCTTCATGATATTCTTTGTATAGAGTATATATAGATCCTTTGCTTCTACCACCTCCGGCAAAACATGTAGCAACCACCGAGAGCGGCGAAGCGCTTTGTACAAGCTCCGTCGGTTCGCTGCGGCGCCCGCGTTCGCCGCGGACCCGGCGTCCTTCGGAGGACTTGCTGCGGGGCCAAGGCCAACGTGGAACTCTCAGACAGAGCGGCGCCCGTCTGAGTGTCTGACCAAGAACGGAATTAATTTTGAATTAGGCTTATGAGTTAAATGATGTTAAATGCCCAACATCAAACTTGACAATTGGTTATTCTTCCAAAGTCTCGCGTTCCATTGGGTTCCAATGGATACCCTTGCATTCCAGCCGTGGACTTGGAGATTGACTAGCTAGCAAGACGGCAACTTTGGCCGAACTGGGGGGCCGTAGCTCAGGGCAACCTGAAATGGGCGATGAAAGCGGGCACGTCTTCACCTGTTTGACCTCTTCATAGGTCTGCAGAAAACTGGTTCCTAAACTTCTGAATGCCCTTCAAGTATCTCCAACTATGAGTACCCATGTCAAGAGGAAACAGCTGGCGTGAGGAACGTCTCGCTGATACTCCTAACTCTCAAACTGCGGATGCTAATGGATCTCCATGTTTCTTGGAAGCGAGGCAGCCCTATGCTGCCCTACAGTCAGTACCGTGTATTTTCCTACTAGCTACGTATTGTGCCTAAAGATGCCTAAAGCACAATCCTCTGGAGTCATTCACTTGCCTAAAGCATCCTAAAGCCTGCATGACTCTATGACTTTGTAACCATCCTCCGCCGACTCTATGACCTGCATCCGTTCCACCAAACCGTCAGACTGCCCTCCGTTCGTGCCGACCGTTGGTGGACGGTGCGCTCGTGCGTCCAAAGAAACCTCCAAGCTGTCCAAGCCTTGATTTCAGAAGCCCTGAGCCACTTGCTTTCAACCTTGGAATGGATGATGCTGGGTGAACAAAGCAGCCCATCACCACCGGTGTTTGGTGAGTTTGGACAGCCTGTGAAGGTGCTCAAAAGGGCCAAAGGGGACACGGGACACTTCTCAAGGCTTCTCAAAGCATCTTAGTGGTTTCACAAGACGGAGGCGCCGAACTTGGAGAGACGAACGGGGGTGCGCGAATAGAAGGACTCCTGGTCGTCATGTGTTCATGGCCTTGCCAAGTCCATGGCACCGCCGAGTCCGCCTTCATCCCACCGCCGGAGCTCGGACTCGTCTCGTCTCCGCGGAGCGGAGCGACGTCTCGCCCGTCGAAGCGGCGGTCGGTCGTTGGACCCGAAGAAAGGACCGTTCTGTTGACGTCAAAGAAGTGAAACATGATTTTTGGCACTCCAAAAAGATCACAGAAAGCAAGGCACGAGAAGAACGGAAGGTTGGCCCAAAAGTGATTCTGCACTTTGATGCAACACATTTCAGACCAGCTCAGTTTGACAGACCATGCAGGTCTGTCAACATGGGCCCCGGGCCCCACGACAAAGAGCTCTCGGTTCAATGGATCCTGTCAGAAGACGATCCTCGAATCATCGTCGCACAACATGATCGGTACAGAAATTCCACCCGTCATTCCACCCGACTCATAGTCAAAAATTGGGTGGAGGACCTGTACCAATACAGTAGTCCATTCCTTTCCACCTGTCGAAGAAAAAAAACAAAAACACACCTTGGCAAACTTCTTGGCTCATGGACTGCATCGATGCCATGGCCGTGCGACGCCACTTGCGACGCCGTGCCCACAGCGCCTCTGCCAAAGACAGCGCCTGCGGTGCCCCAGAACCGACGACGGCCGACGACGGCCGACGACGGGGGCAAAGTGACCAGATGGGAAGAACATCAGCCACAAGGGTGAATATAAAGTGAACAATGGTGCACAACAGGTCGCCACAACTGTGCACTGGTTGAACCACTGGCTCTTTGCGAAAAAAAGCATCGGAGGTGGCAACGAATTCTTCGCCACCCAACATGTCCCAAGGCTCACGGCCCCCTTGTTGGACAAAGATATCTATATCAAATCATATCTACTGATCTCGGTGTGTGAACTACTCAAGTAGGGATGAGAGCAGCCTTTTGGTTCACTGCAAGTGGATGAAGCCTTACGCGACTTGTAAGGACATTCTGAGGATCGTCAGCAAAACGTGTCCCCCTGCCCCAAAAAAAGGGATCTGACTCTTTTTGTTATTTGTTGTTGCCTTTTTCTGGAGACCTCACAGAAACCAAACCCATCACCCATACCAACCCCCCTAGACTTCTTCCCGCCACCAAACACGCCACGCTCTTCGGCCCAACGACCGCGGGGCCTCAGAGCGACCGACCGGTTCGGACGAGCGCCTTGAAATCCTCCGGCCAGTTGGCCCGAGCGCGCCACAGTGCCTCGACGCGCCAGTGCCCGTGGTCCCGTCCGGCTGCGGCAAGGAAGGAGGTCGGAGGTGGATGTCAGGGGGGGGTCGGTGGATGACATGGAGAATTGTCATAAGTGCGTACTATACATCTATCATATATGTAAAATATACCCATTATCTACGTAATTACTTGGCTGAAGATTTCCATGATCCACCATGTATGCTGTCAGTGAAAGCACAATAGTTTGTAGACCAGTTCGTAGCTGTTCGTGCAACAAGCCCCCAAAACACCTTCCACATGAAAGGCATATGGCTTTCCAGGCCTTTCCATAATAATCTCTCCCCAATGACTCTTTTGGACTTCCTCAGTTTCCCATATATATATATATATATACAGCAAACCTTCTTTCATCTTGTTCATTTTCAGGTGCATTTGGAGTTCTTTTCCCCAACAACGGGTTAAAGGTTATCCAGTAAATTCCAGGGTCGGCTTTTGACGTGTGACCTGCAGGGCAACGATGCGTCTGGGTTCTCAGCATCTTCACTTCCCGAAGCGACCTCAACCGAGCCTCACCCGACCTCACCCGTTGGTCGCCCGGTTGGTCTCCCGCGGAACGAAAACGGTTGGACGACGCGTCACCGACGACTCGGCCTTCTTGGCGTTCAGATCCCATGCGCGCAGACCCGAGCTGAAGAGCCCTGCGGACGGACCGCGGCTCGGTGCCGTCTCTCGGCCCGATCGCGGTGGATCGGCGCTTTGGAAGAACTTCCCCCCAAAAAGCCGGGACCGTTTGGTGAGTTGGAACGTGTCGATGCCCGCTGATCTGATCATGTCCATCCGGGTGATGCTTGGCTTGGCATCGGAGAAATCGCAGCATGGTAGAGCCCAAAAGTGAGCAAACGTGGGGGGGGCTCCAGCTACTCATCATCTCCTCATCCCCTGGTCTTTGGGTGTTCCATGGTGTTTGGGGGAACCCCACCACGTGTCGCATCCGCGTTTTTCCCCATGCGCCAACAGTCCAACCGACCCCAACAGTGACCTCACGCCCATGTCACGCCTAAAAGGTGCAAGCTCCCCTGGTGCCTGCAGGGCTAAGTGATCAAACCAAGACCATCAAAAGACCCAAAGCCATCCCAAGAATCATCCAAAGACCTGCAAGATACCAAAGCACCCACACTGGACGCCCACACCCACATGCTGCAATGCTCTTACATTGTAACTAAAGTAAACTCTCATATCGTAGCTTTCAGATGATCCCGTTGAGAGTGGCCTTGAGTCATACGTATCAGGCTAGTCTAGACTCTCTCCCCTCTAGTCATGCTTTCAAATCATCCAAAATCAATCCACCAACATCGGTCTCAACACATCTCCAACTCCAAGGACCCTCCTGGTGAAGGTCAATGCCCTGGGTTCAGCATCCACCTGGCGGTTAACTGGGCTTCCATGGGCAAGTTGCGTGTTTGTTAACTACACCCAGTAGGTTATATAAACAGATGGTGAAATCGATTCTTCCAAGACATCTATCCTAAAATTTCCACTCACGCGCATTCATGATCTTCAATGACATTTCCATGGATCATCTTGAATCGGCCATCATTCTGATCATGCATCATGAATCTCATCCGAACAAAACATGTCACACTAATTTGGTCCAACAGAGATCATGTCCCGGTGGCAAACAAAGGTCAAGCTCCGTCTTCTTTTGCGCCGAAGAAGCGTCGCGTCTCGCTCACGTCGCAGAACTGCTGAGGCAGAAGCGCTCTCAACCGCGGATGGCGCTCAGCTGTGCGCCAGGATCGCGCCGTGCATCGCGCGACGGCCACGGGACCACCGGCCACAGGGTGTTTGTTCGGACGCAGAGGGCCACGCCCACCGCGTGAACCTCATCTCATGGCCTCGCGTCGGGGTTCGCACGAGACGAGACTGGAGCGTGGTACCTGAGGATTTTGTGGCCAGGTGAACCGTGGTCTCAGAGTGGTTACAGATGGGTTGCAGCGGTGGTACAGTAGTGGACCCCCCAAAACATTGAAGGCCACATCTGGGGGGCCCTACAGTAGTGCCATCGAAGCGCTGAAAACATGTTGAACAGAACTCCTGATGGCCTTCAGTCTTTGGAAACAGCTGTTGATCATGGGGTCTATTCACCTCGCCCCACGCGAGTGGAGAGCCCGTCCAGGCTCTTCGTCCGTGTGGATTTATTCCCAGTGACGATGCTTTTCTTGTCATGAAACACTTGAAGTCACCAAGTCAGACAGTCAGACAGTCACCAAGTCGCCCAAGCCTGAAGAGGTCTTAATCCATCTGGGGTGGTTTTATTGATCAAGAGCCTACGTGAGGGCCAGGGGGGCAATGGTTCCCCATGTTATCTGTCAACCGTCCACCCTCAGTCTCTGCCTGCAGCTTGCCAAGGAAGATTTGATGCGCTTCCAGATACAGTTGTTGGCAGGGCGGCTTGTAGTAGTGGCATCCTAGCAGGGCGTAGAATGTTCGGAGGGTCTACATCTTTAGACTGCCCCCTAGCCACAAATGACTTTACTTCGAGTGACCCCCACCATGACATTTCAATCATTTGTCTTGATGCCATAGTGAGGAGCATGTTGCCATGGTCGTGAATATTGTAGTTCTCGATTTTGCTTGTGGGTCCTCGGGTTGTGTGCTGTGGTTGTGTGTTTGTGTTTGTGGTTGTGTGGTTGTGGTTGCGTGCTTGTGATTGTGTGTTTGTGATTGTGTGTTTGTAGTTGTGTGCTGTGGTTGAGGTCTGGCAGGGAACACTGGGCGTGGATGGTCGTGGTTGAGGTCCGGCGGAGGAGGACGCGGAGGAGAAGGAGGAGGACGAGGAGGAGATGGGGCTGTCGTAAAATCTAACAACCCTCACCTGACAGGTGGGGAAAACATACAAAAAACCAGTCACTGTTTGACCGTAGATTGACTCAACGTAGATTGACCGAAGGTCCCATTGATCCCTCCGCGAGGGTTGAACGAACCTCCTCCGCCCGATCTCGCCGGTTCTCTTCCCCCCCAACATCAAAGAATGCACCCGCTCGTGATTTCTTTCCGATACCAACCGGGAACCCCCAGTTGGGGTGCCTCATGGACACCGCGAATCACGGCTAGGGGGGCTATATGGGGCTATAAATCGACACCCCTTGGCAGAGGGTGCCGATACGAGTACCAAGCATCTCGTGAGAGTCCGTCCGTGTCCGTCGATCATCCGGCCCGTGGCCTGGATGATGCTTAATGAAGTCCCCATCTTGCCATTCTCTTGATGCCACGGTCGCAGCTGTTGCAGCATGGAAGGACTGCAAGTGTTCCTTGCAAGAGAAGCACAACCACCGAGTGAAGGCGACGTGCACGACAAATTGAAATTCGATCAAACACACAAGGTACAAGTACCGATTCCACATGGATTCCGTGCCAAAGCGGACATCCAAAAGAGTTCAGGCTTCCGTGAAATTCCATAGGGTTCCATCTGCCGGTGTGCCTTTCTTGCATGGGAACCCCAGTCTCCCCGTTTGTGTCGCGTTTTCCATCGCCTGTGCAGCCACGCGCACTTCCGGCACCCAAACGGGTGCTTCGACCGCGTCCCAGGCATCGTCCAAAGACATGCTGCTGTCCTGAAGTCGTCGTGGCGGTCCGTTTGGGGTTCGGTCCTTTGGGTGAGTTTCTCGTCAAGGAACAGCTCACTCCCGGGACGACCAGTGATTCGGGACGAAATACGAAGCACAGCTGGACCGACGAGCAAAGCAGAAGAGGTCAATATCGAAATGGATGATGCCCTGGTGGTTCATTTGCTCCTCGTATTGAGATACGATACGCATCCTTGTACACCAACATCGCGTCGTTTCATGGACACAACGCAGTTCTCTGAATAGCAAGTTCCCCCAGATGGATGTCTGTTCATTTTCACGTGGAAGTGACCTGCAGGACACGTAAAGCATCAAACGTCTTCTGATTGCAGCTCATCCAAGCAGCATATAAGAGTTGGTGTTGCATGGTTGACTGATCGCTGCCTTGGATCTCTCGGTTGACTGATCAGCAAACCGCCACCGTCCCCCACGAGTCTCCCTGAACATCACTGATCACAGGTGGAAAAAGGGTTTTCGCATGTTTTCGCGTTGGTGAGAGGATCTGAGAGGGGAGGGTTTTGGATCTGCTTCTCGAAACTGCCCAAAACTCTCCATAAATCACCCCCCCCAAAAAAACAACATCAAGCCTTGGATCTTCACTTGCACCTGGGAGCTTGTTGGGCTCCCGAAACCGAAGCTGAACTTGCACGGCGAGTCCAGTCATGCGAACACAAGACAGTACAGTAACTCTTCCAGTCATGTTGTCCATTGCTCAGCCTGTCATGATCTCCCAACCACTTAATATAATTTTTATGTATTTTTATATCATAGTTATAACTCTCAACATATCTCTTAACACATCTCCAGTTTCATCTGTCAGGCCGCTGGAGCCTTTTGCATCCTTTTGTCAAGCGACAGTTGTGATTTTCTCCCGGCCCTTGCAGGATGTCCGAATGCCACCATCGCACCAGGAAGTCATGGGACCAAGCACTGTTCCGCATCAACCACCTGACACCGTCGCGACCGATTCCCAGCACGTCGGCACCGTCCGGGGCGATGTGGCGGTCCGCCGAACTCGGTCCAGTTTGAAGCTCTCCGACACTTCTGAGTTGGCACAACACTTCCGACGCGGACATCGGTGAACGCTTCGATTTGTGCACCACGGTGCGATGTACAGAAGTGGTCAACTAGGGAGCCCCGCACGCCGTTGTTGATGCCGGAGGAGTCAGTGGCCACCTGAGTCGGTGCTTGCCGAGTGAACCTGGATTCGCCAGCAGAAAAACATGATCAACAGCGTCAATATAGCACCGAAGTGAGTGCAACATGTTGTGATCACAATCCGCTGGGCCACAATCAGCGACACCTCTGGGGGACTCAAAGGTTGCACTCGGTCTCGTAAGCTCTGCATCTTCAAATCTTCGCCGAAACTCCTGCGTTGAGTGCAAATGGCAGTGCACCATGTCTTGTCAGAGCGATGTGACTCAAGTCGCTCCGATCTCCTCCGATCTCCCACCATCGAGCGGAGCGACCCACCTCGACCGGACGATACCCGTGGACACCGTTCCCGGCGGAGCGCCGCCTGGGTCCAAGCTTTGTGGCCCAGGTGTTGTTGCCGCTGTACCTCTGGGACGGACCCCCCAAAACATATCATAGATCAACCTTGATTGCTTCCTATATGGTCGATGTTTGTTCGTTTTTCGTCTCGTATGACCAGAAACGAAAGAAGAAACGCCGTTCAGTCCATACCCACCAGAAGCGGATGAATCAGATATCTGGGATTTCTCCACTTGCCGCCGAAGCGACATCTGAATGACACTGTCGATCGTTCGACCTGCCATGGTCACAGGTCGAACGCGCGGCCCCGCAGCTCTGCGGGCTGGTCATTACGGCTCATCTTTCAAAAAACCAGGCGGAATGCTCATGTCATGTCTGAGACGCTCAATGTCTATATAGCTTGATACAAATTAATTCATTTGCAGTGTTTCCCCTGTTCATATGCTCTACATCGTCTTGAACCAGCAAAAAGGCCGGAGGAAGATGTCTGCTCCAACGAAGAGCGCCGTCCGAAGAGTGCCCGCCGTCTTTTCGTCCAAAGCCGGTTTCGTCCGTACCTCGCCTGGATCCATGAAGAGTGCATCGCAATCAATCCAAAGCACCCAATCATATCTTGGAGTTTGTTCCTTCAAAGCTTGGTGAACACAGCGTGCACACCGTGCATTGAAGTTCGTTTTTTGGGGCAGCTTTAAGGAACACTGCGTACGGCGTACCCACGACCGATCTGTACGGTTGCCGAGCAAAAAACAAAGCACAAGCCACAAGCACCACAGAAGCGGACGAATTTGGCCAGAGTTCCAAGATGTTCTTCACCTGGCCAGCCAAGTCAGGAGAACATGCCATTTCTTTTGCAAACATATTGGCCTGTCCAACATCCAGGTTTCATCTCCTAGTCATTTACAATGATTTTCTGGGGGGGTCTCGTAGTGTTGGGCTCTGGACGCTGGTTTGTCTTGTCTCGTAGTCGCTGGACGAAACGAAAACTGCCCAAGGTACCACGTTGACCTTCCAGAAGAAGGGCTTGTGCCGCCCATCGTTGATGTCCATCCTGGGACCCAGGCAGAAGAGATAACTAAGAAATACACACCATCAAGCTGTGAATCAAAGGAAGCTTTCAAAAAAAAAGGAATCACATCATGCAAAATAAGAACATGTACGAAAAGCGTGCTTTTAGGGATACTGGCCAAGGCAAGAGCTGGAAAGCTGTCTTGCAAATCACTGTGCTTTGTGGCAAAAGACATGGCTAGTGGCATTTTGCAAAATCTATCAAACTCATGCACTCCGAAGCTAGAACACAAGGGAGTGCCTATACACTTTGGATGACCACTTCTGGCTGTGCTTTTGAAACAAGGTCGCTTGACTGTCGTGCTTGGTCAACTGAGACTCGCTCTGAGAAGCCAGATTTGCTTTGATCTGCGACTTCTCAGTCACTTGATAAAGGTCATAACCGTGAAGCTCCGCATAGACCCTCAGCAGGAGATGTCACGGGCTCTACATGCTGCGACTGCGTTCTCCACGACACGCAGCGCCTGCGCCTCTCAGTCGTCCACCTCTTGGAAGATGTCTTATCAGCTACGTCGCCATGTCCCCGGAAACGAGGAAACCATTGACCTTAAAAATGAAGAACCTTATTACACGTGGGGCGGCGGGATGCGCGTTGGGACTGGGGGGGCATTATATATAGACCCCGTGTCGATAGAAAGAAACTTATAGAAGTTGGGATCGATTTTTCACGTAGAACAAAACAGGACACCGTGACTGACACCGTGCCAGTACATCAATTTGGGGACCACTCAATTGGCTTGGGGGTATCCAATTCTACTACCCCCAAACCGCAGAGGCCCCCCTCCGGAAGTACCGCGGTAGGACGTCCTCTTTGCCACCGAAGTCGCTGATGGTTCTCCGTGCCAATGATGCGCACCGGCTCGGTTTCTCCGTAAGCGCAAATCGACACAATGGCCACCCGTTGGTTGGGCAAACGGAACTGCGGCATCGTCCTGGGGTCGTCAGCACGGACCACGGAGGAGAGAAGAAGTGTCTGGAGATAAATGGAGTATGGTGGTTCAAAACCCATGGTAGAATATATATAGAAAATGGTCTAAACTCGCTGCGCTCTAGATCAATGTTAAGGCTTCTATCCACCAACAAACCACTTGGAAAGAACCACCTTGAGTCGTAGATGGACTCAAGATACCCCAGTGGGCTAAGTCAAACATGATGGCCTTTCATGATCTCTTACATTCCACAGTTTCTCTTCACCTCGTATTGCGCAGCGAGGCTGACTTCCAACTGAGGGTTTCCCTCTCCGTTCGGACTGTCCGGATCGTTCCTCACTGCTCAAGTGATCAGTGAACTCATGTTGGTCATCTGTTTGCACCGGGAACAGCACGAACTCACCCACACAAAGCCCTCAAATGTTCCAACAATTAATCATCCCATCCAATCGAAACCTCACTGCTTGATCGTCTTCCTGACCACCGAAACCCGCGCGCTCTCCGCATCCGCGCGCCCGCGCGCAATCACCGCGATCACCGCAGCCCCGCCACGGCATCACGGACTGATCGTCCAACGGCCGGATCGAGGACACCAGATTCCGTCCCGCCAGGAGCATGTCCCAACCCTGCGGACATGACTAAGGCGGATTAGCGGGCCAGCGGCGATGGACCAAAACACCGCGCTGGTGGGTGGAAACGGTGCCAATTTGGGGGGAACATGGAGCATGTTTCTTGAACATAAGCCTCGCATAGCCTCGCAATAATTTAAAGAACAGTGAGTTCATCATACTTTCATCGAGTGTTTCACATTTGAAATGCATATATTTCCATGCGCTTGACAACGCCATGTAGTGTTACATCTTGGGAATAAGTAGACAAGGATCTTACAACTGAGACTGTCCCGGTTTCTGCCTGCACAGGCCATGGGGTGCATTCCTCAGCGAGGCCATGGGACGCAGGACACAGCTTTTCACCGGTTTTGCTTCAACCTGTCTAACCATGTCAAACCAACTCAAGCCAACCAGGTTTACCTCCTGTGAAGATAAATATTGTAAATTTTGTAACATATTCTTGTACAGCCCTCAGCCCTTCACACGTCTTCCGAGGCACGTTGAAGCCTTTGTCTCGAACAAAGATGAAACCCATGTGAATGAAGGCCTGGTCGACGGAATTCCGATATCTTTCTCCCGTCGTCGACTCAAATGATCACCAAATGCAGGGAAACACAATGAAACACATTAATTAGTAATAAAAAACTCTATTATGATATCTTCTAAATCCTCGTATGTCATATAGTACGTCTTCAACAATTTGTTTCTTAATCACTTGACGCCATTCTGGGTGCTGCACTGCACTTTAGGGCTTATGGCATTTTCGAGTCTTCTAGCTTTAGCCCAGAGCAGCGATCTGAACTTGGCCATTGAAGCAACCTGATTGGCTGCCCTGGCAAGAACAGCTTGACAACTCATCTCTCTTTCAATCCATCTCCTGTTCACAGGTGCCCCGAAATAGACCGCCAACACCCCCGCACCAGAGCGCGTCGAAGGCGGCCCTGGAAAGCAAAACTCTGGGCCAAAGAGAAATACCTTGGCTTCTGAAATGTCTTTGACCGGTAAGTCCAAAACCATCAATAGTGAAAAGGCTACGCGGCTACACTCCGACGAACACGTCACATGGAAGTGCATGGTCCACCAATGGTTCACCCTGTTCGTACTAGGAAAATGGTCATCAAGGGTCCCTTTTCCACGTGAACACGTGAGGTGTTCGGGGGGCTGCCGTGGTCACGAGATGATTCTGTCATCGTTCTTCGCCAGTGCTCAGAGTCGGGCCCGTTTTGTGCGAACAAGGCACGTGGAAGCCACTGCCAGTGGACACTCGAATGCAAACCAGAAGTGCCTTGTTGTGGCTCGCTCGGTCTGGTGAGAAAACGAGAACGTCTGGTACAGCGTCAAAGCGTGCCCCTGTTTTGCGCTAAGGCAAGGCATGTTTCACTTCGCTTCCAATTCTCTGTTCATTCAGAACGCAAACAGTTGAACGATCTTGCAAGATATCACAACCGCCGCTTCATCCACATCTCGTCTCGGGCGCTTCGTATTCACGCACCCACCTTTACTTGAAGATCCTTCGGCCCGCGCCTTCCTCACGAACCCTCGCCCCTGCCTGCCGTCGTGTCGAGTCTCGCGACGGAGCTTGAGGCGCCTGGTGACTTCGCGGAGGAGGTGCATCACTGCCTCTTGGGATCCACGAGCACCGTCCCCAGAGAAGACCATCGACCTGGCGGATGGACCCGGATGAGACCTGGTGGTCGTGGCCGGACGACTGACGAACGTCCGGTGCTACACGGGTGCAAGGAAAGACAAGAATGTGGGGAACGATTGGGGATGATGACGGCAGATTCAAAAAGGCTTTCTATGTGTTGCTTTGGCAGTTCTGTAGCAAACCAAGGCACCTTGCGAAATAAAGCTGCTCGTGATACAGCTGCCAGTCAAAGTTATATGCCTTAGCTGCAACGACTGCTGCAACGTATATCACATGCAACAGTCCACGGTTGGATAAGAAAAGAGACAGCAGTCGCTGATAAAGGTCACACAGAAATCAATTGAAGGCAAGGAGGGCCCTGCCGGCCCCGGCCAATTGCAATCCGTACGTTGACAGATCCCCAAACATTGTCCCCATGGATCCAAGTACCCTCTGAGAAGGTGTTGGGGTGGGTTTGGAGGGTCCAAGTACCTTTTGAGGAGGTACTTGGATCCCTAGGGTGTCGTATTTCCGTCCATGTCTGATCCTGCACATTGGCCCTTTGGGTGGGGGTCTCTGCTTCCCTTCGGACGTGACATGAAGAAGACTGGAAGTGTGAAAAGTGATGGCGAACTGCACATCCCGTCCGTGGCACTGATGGGCATTCTTCGGAGATTTCCACCATGCTGTAATCGCACCTAGCAAACGGATGCAAACGGATGATTGTGATCCTCAAACATTTGGACTGTGTGGGCATTTTTTATGATCCATTCTTCTCAAGCAAGACAACATGGCTGCAATATGCTGCAATCAGCGGCAATGGTTTCGGATGTTGCGCTTTGATCTCTTGGACTGACAAAGGGACAAGAACATGTCGAACATCGGCAATTTCAAGAGTATGTCAGATCGATATATACAGTATAATAATGTTTCTCCTCCTTGCAACTTGGCAGCTGGGGTGGGGGAGCACCAGCAACAAGAAACCTCACTGCAAATTAAATTGACAGTCAAGCGTTCAGAGGCACCGACCAAAACCACCTCCATCAAAGTTGCTGTAAGACCCAGCATCTGATCCAATGAGATAGCTTCCAATGCCCAACCATTGCGCCATCCAATGGACAAAATGGGAATGTTCCCTTGAATGTCTCTATATGTCTCTTCTATACACGATCTGCTTCAAGATGCTTCAAGCTGTGTTGCCAACTGCTTCTCAGTTCGGGTGGGGATCTTTGCCAAAGAAAATCCATCCGGTCAAGTTGAGTGGAGGAAGCAGGAACCTTTCACATCTTTCCTCGACTTTTCGCTGGCAGGCGATGGGGTCCATGGGGTCCGCCAAAGATTGATTCATGGGCCAAAGGTCTTGGTGGGCTTGGTCTCGAGCCATATGGCTGGCAAAACGGGCCTTGTGCAAGGCTGCCAAACAGGTGTCACGGAGACTGGTGAGAGGTCAACTTCAGCGAACGAAGAACATGTGAGTGAGTGGGTGACTAAAGGTTGAAGAGAACAATATCTGAAAACGCCACCCATGCAGATTAGGTGGTACTTTTCTGCTCATCTTTGTCTTTTCTCAAACCATTCTCAACCACATTGACAGTTTCGGTCCCACCTGCAATGGCACGCTGTATTTAGGCCTCAAAGAAGTGCCAAGAAGACGAACACGTGAAAACAGGGAAGCGCTTGCTCCTGGGTTCGAAGGTGGTGCCCAAGACGGCTGGCTGCGTTGTGCTGTGCGGCACAGGTCTGTTGGGTTGGGCCGACAGCCAAGCCCGAACGCATCCCGACGGCCAGTGGCCTCAGAAGGCCATCAGGAAACGTGCAAATATCCTGGCAGACTGGAACGATGAAATCGGTCACAAGATTTAAAACGGAACATGTAAAGTCATTTAAAATTGTTGCAGTTGAACCGCTCTTCTTTGACCCATGAAACTGTCCATCGAAATCGGTGGTGCCACTGTGGACAACTGTACTCAAAAAGTGGGCACCAAGACACTGCTCCACACCAGCTCACCTGGCTGCCAAAGAGGATCCATCTACTTTCATGTTCTTCTTCCCCTAATAGCGATGGCCGGGCCCCCCCACTCTTTCATGTCATTTTGGATCCCACCAAATCAGAGCTCCTCCATTGGCATCTCCACCACCAGCAATCGTTCTCCGTCCCAGCCAGCGAGGACCAAACACCTCGTGTTTTTTGGAAGGACCGTCGGTGTGTCGACTCTGATGTTTTCTGAGCCCCTAGGGCTGCAGGAGGTGAAACCTCCTCAGGTTCGGTATGGACCCGAACATGGCACGACCTTCCCTCCTTCCCAAACGAAACGAAGGTACGACTGGAGCTGTAGGGATCGTGTTTTCTGTTTGCCAAAGAAAGTCATCGAACTTCGCTGCTGGAAGCAAAGCGGCTGAGCCAAGCCCAACAAACTGAGCCAGTTTGTGGGCAAAGTCTTGGGATTGGTTTTCGGTCCCCGTGAGAACTGGATGTGACGCACCCCAAGAAATCACCGGAACAGTCTTGAGCACTTTCATAGCAGTGCCCAGTCCAAAATGCAGCACTCAGTTCGATCAATTCCTGATCTCATCTGGAAATCATCTGGAACCAATACACCTGGTTTTGGAAATCCACTACACCATTTTCCGGACTCAACTGTCTCAGCTGTCCTTTTCATCCAACGTCTCAGCTGAGCTTCGGCACCAATGACTTTGATTGGCGTCCTTCGGTCGATGGGCGGCGCGGCGAACGGAGCGCCGCCCCCCCCACCGCTTCAAAAAATGGTCGGTCGGTCGAAAGCAACGATTGGATGGAGCGAATTGGGAAGTTTGGAGCATCCTGCCAAGTTTGGTGTTGTTTCACGACGTTCGACGAGGTGACTTTAAAGCAAACATGTGCAGTGATAGGCCGTGCCTTTTTTCCATCATGCCACTAACAATGTAAAGAGAAAAAAAAACACTGGCGGAGAGAGGGGCCAAGTAAAACTAAAAGAAAACAACAAATGAAAACAAAAACAAATTTTAAATAGCATATTATGGTATCTTGTGTGTTTTAGGTTCTGATTTGGGACGAAGTACTTTTGGGGTACCGGTCTCTCCCGTCTTCGCGTTGCGTCTTTTTTTCCAGGTCTCGGTTTCTCTCGCCAACCCGAGCGGACGGACCTCCGAAAGAAGCGTAACTGAAGTAGTAGTAATTCATGTTACTAGTATATCACTAGTACTGTAACAAATGAGGCATTACCTAGTATATCACTACTAATGGGGGTAATTAATGTTATTATATATATTAATGTATATCACTAGCAATTACTACTAGTAGTAGTTTGCAAATTCTTGCTACTAGTAATGCCCTTGTTACTAGGAGGCGATGCCCTTGTTACTAGTAGCGAATGCATAGGGAATGACATCAGGGTGACATCCTATGCATTCTGCTACTATTGTTCCGAGATAATTCCGTGATCACTTATAAGGTTTCGGCGTGGCTTTTCACTTCCAAGATTTTTCTTTCGGTTCCGTCCGACCAATCCGAATCCATGTTCGCTTGCAAGCCATGTTCTCATGTTATCCACGCCCACCAAAACCATCAAAAACCACCGGAAATTCCACCGCCGTGAGAGCGCTCATGTGCGAGGTTTCTTCGATGGTGCCCGTCCATTTGACATGCATGTGTTTATTTTATTGGCGCTGGATAGGAGTGGCATGAAGGGTGACTTATATGATGTATCAGGATGTGGTCAAACTTTGACCATGTAAGGCGCATTCCCAACAACTCTTTTGCACGCGCATGGAGTGCCGCTACTGAGGCATGGAGTGCCGCTTTTTCTGCGCCTTTTGCCCGGGCCGAGTGCGGAGCGTCGAATCAGAAAGTCGCTGCAAAGGGAAGCAAAGAGGATGGAGAGTTGGGTGGTGATGTGCGGACATTGGAATATATGTCGCGAGACATTGTCATTGTGAGTCCAAAACTCCCAAGCGGAGATGAAGCAGCGCGGAGAACCGGTTCCGGATGTGTCCACAGCATCATTTTGTGCAAGTGTGCCTGTCTTGCAGCGCTTTAAACAAATAAGAAAACACATGCCAGCATAGACCACCACTGACTCCGTCAGCTTTGCTGGAAAAGAAGGTTAACATTTTTTCACTGACTGATCTGACTGGGTAGGCCAAACAGTTTCAGATGTTTCAGTATGTTTCAGTTTTCTTTTTCTTCCGGCTTCGCACCTCGCATCGCTCCAGCGTTCCGGCAAAGCACCTCTGCAATGCAGGAGGTATTTCTTGGTTCGACTCGATGTCGACGCGCAATTTTCCGTGTTCCGGTCGTGTTGGTTGGTTGGCTGAGACACCAGACAACGCGCGACGACATCAGCGATGTGTTTGACTACTTGACATAGACTCGAAGTGATTTCAATGTCATTTCAAGTCCCCCAAACCGAGGTCTTTCAATCCATGTCCGGGGGGGCTTGATTCATATCAAGAAAGGTTGAGTGATAGAGGGGATACCGACCCCTCCGTACCACCAATACCATCCAATACCGGCATGTAACAAGAATCAAGATGAACTTCAGTGTACCACCCCTCTCTTGTTCACATCTTTATCACAGGAGCCCCTAACCTTGGTAGCGATGCCCTCCGCTCCGCTCGCACCAACTCTCCAGCCACTCGCCCCTCCATCGCACCTCCAAGGCGACCTGCGCCCTGCCAAGCCTCAGGACTCCGGTGGGGGGGGGGCGATGCCAAGAGCGTTCAACCCCTCCGGCTGCGGTGGAGGCATCTGCGAAGCTGCAGATACGAAGCGGCGAAGCTGCACCAAGATCAAGGAAGGTTGATCCCCTCAGATGCCCTTCATGAATGGACATAGCAGTGTTGAAAAGCCAACGTTGAAAAGCAAAGAAAAGCTGACATGACTTATATAAATACTCTTTTGGGGGGACCAACAAAGAGACCGTTCCTTCGTCCCACTTCCGTCCCTGCCATCAGGACCCGCCCACTCCCACCCCCGCCCCTTACTGAGGCTGTCCACGCAGGACTCGTTCCACCGATCCTGCGCACCGAGTCCGTTCGGAAGGCCGTGCCGGGTCTCCGGTCTCGTTCCGTTCGGAACGGTGGGGGGATGAGTGATTCACTCATTGAATACCGGCCCGTTCTCGTTGAAACGTTCTGTAACCGGAGGAGTCGAACGATGGAGGTGGCTGGAGGTGGCTGGAACATAGTGTGACTCTGGAAAGGCAATGTTGCATTGCATCTCATAAAACCAATCTGCAACGTGCACGTTCTTCCAAACAGGTATGAAAGTGGTATTCCCAGATTCCTTCACTCCGTCGATCTTGAGGACCTCATATGCCGGTTTCACAACATGTCATGTGACTCATGAGTAACTCAGGGGTATTCATTGGACAAACATCTGTCCTCCTTACTGCATTTTATTTTGGAGGGGGGATTTGCCTTGAAGAACATCTTGGTCCATTCCGAACCCCAAAAGACATGACGTCCTGAGTCTGAGTGGACGGCATTTTCTTGAGTGGACAGAATCGTTGGTCCTTTTGAAGATGCGGATATAGAATATATTAGAATATGTAATCTATATATTATAGAATCCCCCATGAGATTACCTCAAGCCGCGTCAGGTGTTGACATTCTTTAGTAAACTTTCGGAATGATACAGATGATTTCTCAAATGATTTCTTCTCGTCTCTGAACTGCACACAAATAAGATCAGTCATGATCGGTCGACGGCCACGCCTGAGTCACAAGTCGAGGATGCCTGGTCAAGGCCGGTGGCCGATCCACCCGAACTCGGCATGACCACTAAACACCAGGATTCCTCGGTGGAAGATGAAAAGAGGATGTCAACTGAAATGATCCGGCGGAAGATGACCCGGCGTCGCCAGGTCCCAAGAGCCGCCCGGAAAGCGGACAAAAACATGAAAAAAATACCCAATGAGCATGAGTCTTTCTCATGAGCATTGTTCTCCGATGTTCTCCGTGGGCTGTCTCTTCCAGCCAATCGATATCCGTCGAACGTGCTTGTCGACTTTGTTGGAGAACAACTCGTGTGCAAGCCGCAGCTACTGTAAGAACACTGCTGGTGTTGTGCTTGTCACTGATCTTCATCTTCAGACTCTCCAACAAAACATTCAGCATCGACGAAACTAATCTCAAGCATCAGAATGGTTTCCAAGTGCCGACGCTCAGCTCAGCTGGAGCGCGGCAAGTTACAAACAAGCTGGTTCAGGCTCAAAAAAAACACCAACAGCACCAGAGTTCTTGTAGTCCATGAGTATTCTTCCATCTGGTTTGGAACAAGGAGAACAACATCTTATATACACCTTCATTTTGAAACTTTTGGAGCCTTCCCCAACCGTTGGGCTCTTATATATTTGGCATGCCAGAGTGCAGTTGCTCCCACCTCTGCCGTCGACTTCGGACGACGAAGTTTGAACTGCATAAATTCCCGCCGGGCAGACGGTTTCATCGAACAAATTGAGGCAGCATTGACCAAAAGCAGGTACCTGCAATCTGTTATCGGCTTCGGTGCGGGAAACAGGCAAAAAGCAAGGCCACTCCGAAGTTTTGCAGCCACTGCGATAGGCCAATAGTGATCTTTCAATTGCGGAAAGATCTACATGCTTTCAAAGGCTCAGGTCGTACAAGCGTGTATAGCTTGCCAGAACGTAGACCCTTGCTGTGACAATATCGGACGAAATGGGATTCGATGACCTCCGGTATGTCACAAAATCAATCGACGTTCAACAAACATGTGCCTTTCTTGCCTGATATGACATCAGCACTGTAAAACAGCGGATTTGCAAAAAATCAGACTTAACTTAAAAGGCTATATCAAGTCAAGATTGAATCTCCCCAGTGAGCATACACGCTTTCCAAGTTCTCCACACCTGCATAAGCTTCAACACCTTCTCCACTGTGCTCTCCAGCTCTTTTGAAGAGGCACAGCTCAATGAAATCTGAAGCGGAGCGTCCGCCTCCTGTATATAAACAAAATGAAGAGAGGCTGACACTCTGAGCAAAGGAGTTCAACATGTCTCTTCTCATAACCCTTTGCAAATCGGGAAATTGGTTTGCTCCTTTGTAATTCTTGTTTTCCTTTCTCCTTTTACCCTGATTGTCTTTGCATCGCTGTCATGTGCAGAAACGAGTCCTTGTACTGTCCATTCTCAAGCTCCAAATGGCCGCTGCCACGACCACGAACACGCACTTTGCAAGTGCTGCTGGCAATCCATCGCACGTTGCACCCATTCCGTCCGATGATCCGTGGCACCAGTTCGAAGTCCTATTGGCGAGTGTTCTGTTTGGTGCTTCGCCCTACCTGCGTGTTTCGTTTGGGATCCCCCATTTTGAGACCACTTGTGCAAAGGTACAATGACCAAAGATATGCTACATGAACGCCATCAGAAACACACAACACACTCATGTAGCGTTCCTCGTGCTGCTCGAGATCAAATCCCGGAAAAAGGATCTTGCACGTGGATCGTTTCACTGCGGTCTTGGCATTCGCGGGACGCTGTACTTGGTTGTTCACCAGGCACTTCGGCAGCGGCAGGGGCGAACGAGGAGTCCTCAGCCGGCGAAGGCGAGCGGTGTTCCAAGCGTTCGACCGTCGACCTTCAGGTGGAACCATGACCCTGCAGACCACATGGGTGAAGTCCCAAGGTTCCATGGGATCGTTTGCAGGGGGTATGATATGTTTCTGGGAGTGGCCATTATTATGCAGTCTTGCTGTTTTTTTTGGTGAACCCTACTAAACTCCACTAAACTTCTAAAGCCCTGAACATGACACTTCCTCTGTTCGGGGGCCCCTGGAGTCAAAGAACTGACACGATGTTTTTATGATTTTTTTAAACGTGGAGGGCAACGAACATCCGCCAAGAGGCAGCGCCTGCACAAGCGACTCCCCAAAGACCTTGGAAGACATTGACAAAGGAAGCGGCACCTTCATGGGCAGCAGGTCCTCGTGTTCAGTGACGTAATCAACCAAATTTCCAAATCCATTGAAGAGTACTTTCGCCAGGCACCCTCCAGCAGTCGCATTCTTTCACAGCGATGTCTCATGCATCTCTACCAAAAGGATTCTCAAGTTCTCTAAGAGCATTCAAGCCTTTAAGTATATACCCTTCCAAGATGGAGAGTAGAGGGGGGTACGCCTGGATTAATTTAAACAATTAATCTGACTACCTCCAGAGTGTTTTCAGAAAATTAACCTGGAGGATGTTGAGTCTGGTTTTAATTTTTAAAATCCGCCGACCCCGGCCTAGCCAAAGCCTAGGCGGGGAGGCGCCTGGGACACCGCAGGGTGAAGCCAGTTGGCCAAGCCTAGCAGAACCCTTCCAAGCACTTCCAAAGGCATATGTGCAGAACATGCTCCAACGCAGGCCGCGGCCTCATCTTATGGGCTTCCGAAGGCGACGCGCCAGGCGACGTCAGGCATTTTGGCTGGCTGCGCCCCAAACCCTTCCCGGCACCTGCAAAGGCCTCCCGGCACCTTTGGCCTAGCCCTGCACCGCAGCCTTGCCTGGCAGAGCCGGTGCATTGTGGCCGCGGCCTCTCTGCGGCCTGTCCGAGGCCGCCTGTCCGAGGCCTGCTTCTTCTCTTCTTATGGGCTTCCGAAGGCGACGCGCCAGGCGACGTTAGGCATTATGGCTGGTTGTGCTCCAAACCTTTCCCGGCACCTGCAAAGGCCTCCCGGCACCTTTGGCCTAGTCCTGCACCGCAGCCTTGCCTGGCAGAGCCGGTGCATTGTGGCCGGCCGCGGCCTCTCTGCGGCCTGTCCGAGGCCTGCCTCTTCTCTTCTTATGGGCCTCCGAAGGCGACGTGCCAGGCGACGTTCCAGGCGACGTGCCAGAGCCATTTGACAGAGCAGCTGCAATTGCTGTCACGCCCAATTCCTCAATATTTTTGGAGTTAATGTTTGGGTTCGCGCAGTCCCAAAGCAGAGGATTTTATGTCTTTCATGATGGTGCTGTGGACAGGACAAAAACACCTCTTCACCATCTGTCTGACCAAGTCACGAGGGCTTGTGCAAAGCCGGTCTTCGGGTAGAAGCTCCTCGCAGCCAGAATCCCGCACGAACCGGTGCACAGGAGAGAGGGAGAGGGGTTGGCCGAGCAGCCGACGCACTCGTGTACACACATATAGATATAATATATATATATATATATACATTTGTCATAATTGCAGCTGTTCCCAGCAAAGCAACTCCCAAGGTTCTTGTCAACCCTTTTCTTCCTGGGCATCAGCTACGCTTCAGTCCATACAAAAATCTGACCTGCCTGCCCGCGCACCTGCCGCACTCCAGAATCACCTACAGAAACGGATCGACATGTGAATCTCATAACACTTGTACCTTTACGCCGCATACATGGACATATATTTCTTCACCGTCTATGCTGGTGTTTGCTCGGGCAGAGGAGAGAGGAGGAGGGCGGAGGGCGGAGAGAGGAGAGAGGAGAGGGAGATGGAAATAGTCTATTTGTTTTGCCCGGGCTTGTGGGCCATCTTCTATTTGAACCGGTCGGGTGTTCAAAACCGGGCACGCTTTCAAATAGAAGATTTTCACAACTAATATCTTCTATCTTAGGCGTCCGGATTATAGATAGATAGGTTATAATATAATCGAATATATTAAAATTGAATAAAAATAGAATATAATACATGATGATATAATATTATACTTTACTTAAGTGCTCATAGCATGTGTTCCGCAGCGTCCCTTTTGCCGCATTGAGCACTGTTGGAAGGTCAGCTACCATCCTGTTCATGGCATGCTGCCTCATCATCATCCCCCCGGGTGGGAGGTGGGTGACCAAAAAAGGTGCGGGCAGGCGACTCGGGCGCATGTCCTATGAACATGGACAGCTAGAGTGGCTCTCAAATGCAGAGCTGCTTCATGCTGAGGGACGGAAGGGTCATCTCAACTGGAATTTCGTAAGTTTTTCGTTGATGCCTTGCTGCAAGGACAGAAGTCATATACTGTCAGGACATTGCTATATATGGCTGAACATGTTCCAATCTTGTGCAATCAGTGCCCAGCACGGAACAATCATGCTCATGCCACCGTAGCATGCGTATCCACCTCGCGCCAAGCTCAAGCCAATGATCGCTACAGTGGCTTCTGCGCGGATCGTCTCTGCGGCGGCGTGGCCGTCATACAGCGCAATGTCGTACAGGCCTGAGTTCCAACGGTGTTCGACTCACCACGATGAAGCGCTCCGGCGATAACTATTTCCTCAATTCCCCTGGGCTAGCCCCTGCAGCGCCCGTGTATGTCTTTTGTGGTACAACTGTATAAGCCTGGTGTTCTCCCGTGGCCCATCAGATCGAATTTAAAACCAAGTAGCTCTCCACAGAATCTTCCTCAGCTGCATCTGTCACACGAATCATTTTCTTCGCCCGGTCGCCGCGAGACGCTTCACCGACGTCCACCACCCGCACTTGGACATTGGCCATCTGAACGTCCTGCTCCGAGGGTAACGCTGTCGGCATCGACGGCAATACGTCAAAGGCTGCCTTTGGATAGACATCGTAGGATGGGTCCTCCCGCAGCACCCGAATCGTTGACCTTGGCAAGACGGTGCCCAGACCCACGCTTACTCGGCTGCACGCTACTGCACTAATTACGAGTTTTCAGCCTTCCCCGCTCGCTCAGAGGAAACCGGAGTATTTCTAAGTGAAGCTAAGTCAACCTTGTTGCCTAGCCTCTGCATCATCCTACTGCTGCACATGAAGACCTTGGAACACTATGACAACTCGGGGCTGGCTGCATGCACGCCCAGCCAAGACACAAGACACCTCTCTTGCGCTTCCCCTGCTCTGCCATATTGCACCCGAGCTCTCGAGGGGCAAGATGATCACAGAACCATGCTTCCGGAATGGTGCCGTCCGGGCGCTTTCAAAGCGCTCGCACTTCGGCGTTGAGCGCCAACACCATGCTGTCCAACTCCAAGCGTTGTCCTGGAGCAGCACTTAGCTTCACCACGATCGACACAGGCTCTGCTCCGTCTGGACCCGGCTTGTCCGACATGATAAACCTCAATGCCATAACACTGCCAAAACCCTGATGATGCAACTCCACCCTCGACCTGCTCACCGCCAAAATGTGTGCACAATGGGTTCGTCAGCCAAAGGCACCTCCGTGCCCCCTATACATAGAAGACTTTTTTCTTATGTATGGTTGTCCGCAGTCCTGGCTTTTCCCCATATGAACCTCACAGTCACAGCCCTTTCTTAGCCTCCCATATGACGCCTCCCCCCTCGACCTGCAGACTGCCAAGATACTTGCAAACAGGGTAAAACGCTCCTGGGTACCAAAGATCGTGTGAATCCGTCCGCGGCAGGACACTGGAGTCAAAGGCATCTGGCCGCTTGCGATCGTCGCAATGCTCACTTCGCCGGCCTCTGGCACAGCTGGCCCTGCAACTGCTTTCGCTTTTGCCGATCCCACTCGAAATCGAATCGCCATTGGCTCCACCGCAAACAACCGAACTTTCAGTCTCCAGGTCTTGGCAAAAACCGAAATGGTGTAACATCAGGAAAAGTCAACCTATAGGGGAGGGTTTTTGGCTGCTGAAGGTACACCAGCACCATGGCTGGATAGGGATCACCTGGCTGGAAACCACCGTCCGAAAACTCCAGGTCCAGGACACCTCTGTTTCAGGTCCAGGGTCCAGGTTCTTACTTGGTACTGGATCCTCTGGTTCGACTCTCAGACACGGTGCCACTCCAAGACAGACAGTGGCCCACCCACCCATCTTGCCCCGGTTTCCTCGAAGATTCCAACAGCTTGAGACAGTGATTCCAGCGATCGATCCCCAAAAAGCAAGGGAATTCGGGTAATCTAGGCCCCCTAGTTGGTGCCTGGAGGTCGTGCACATTCCAACCCATAAAGGCTCTATAGGCTATAGGTAGGTACCTCCTGAGGATGGTCTAGAGTATTACCTGCTTCCAGGGAATGGTCGAACTGACTGGTGCCGACTCCATTGCTATCCGAGCCAACTCGTTTGACCGGGATCTTTCAGAGGGCCCTTTCTGTCAGCTCGAACTTCTGACTTTGCTCTGGGAAGACAGATCCGACTGTGGGAATTGTTTGCTCAACCTCTGCTCCAAACCTCTGCTCCAAGCCGAAGATCATGGTTGCCAGCCTTGGTGGCGTGATTTGAGGATTCAGTTTGGATGACGATCTGCCCAAACTCAGATAGAAGTTAAAAAGCCAAGACTTGCAGGAGTGAGTATCTCTCATCAAAATTTCCAGAAAATCATCGTATTTCACCAACCTGAATGCTAATATCTTTATATTGCACACATGATGTATTCAGGGAGTGAGGCAGAATTGGCCATCCCATCCCCAAGCCTAATCAGCGAGCACCGCCCTCCATCGGGATGGCTTGAACCCCCCTCCCCATATCGAAGGATGTAACGTTTGGCTGTCCAGCTGGTCCTAGCTGCTAAGGGTTTAACCTTAACAAAAGAAGACTCTGGTGGTTAGTGCATTGCTAGTGGTTTGGTAAGACATCACTTCTAAACCAGATTTTTAGGACCTGTTCAGGTCTGGTTGAGTACCCCCCTTTCGGACCGTCACGTATACGTGGAGCAGCCTGGCGGAAGTAGAGGACTCCGGAGTCGCAGTGTACAGGAAGGGGATGCCACCAGCGGCATCCTGCAGCAGCTTAAAGGCTCTGGTGACGTTCTCCCACGTGGTCCATGATCTAATACATAAATAAATATCAGATGCATATCGGTAACTATATCATATCCATCTATACATGTGTATAAATCATTAATACTTATGATGCTCCTGAATCCGTGCACTATAGACTATCCATATGATTCTATCAAAGGTGCACAGGAGGTGGCATTGACGTTTTGCTTTTTTTGGCAGGCCGCTTGCTCATTCTGGCTTCGTTTGCTGGTGGACTTGATTTGCACCACAAAACAAGCACCGACTTGCCATGGAACGATCCTTCTCTGAAATAGCACCCTGCTGCAAACAAACACATGGACTGGACTTGGGTTCTAGAGGAACATGCTCTTCCAGCAAAACATCCAGTTGAAAACAAGCGAGTCTTCCATGGGTTGATCCTGACCAAACTACTCCATGCGAGACGAGTTTCCTGCTGGCCATCTTTTCTCGCAAGGCAGTGACCGGAACCGCCCAGACCGCGTTCCGGGCGTTGACCGACGGAGGAGAGGCTCGCCTTTGGCGAGGAAGTGGCAAACGTTTGGAGCTGAGCTGTTTTCTATGTTGTGAGTTCCGGCAATGTAAACAATAAGGTCGCATATGCCCTTTGAGATTGTTTGGTTAGAATGGAGCAAGAGTGCACGCGAGTGTATCAATGTGTATCATACACTCTTTTGTGATGTTGCATTATGTTGCATTGAGCACGTTTCCTGCAAGCTCGACACTGTGCGATACCATCCACGTTACCAAGATTATGTCAAGGAGTGGGATTCAAATCGAACTCACCCACCCTGTTTTCACCGCCATCTCTGTGGCACATCGCATATATCTGCACTACGTGCGGCAGTGGCGCACACCACCAAGTGCTGCATGCGCCGTAGGGGTGCGTGACTCGGTTAGACTCTCATGGTCTCCGCGCGCTTCGGTGGTGAGGCCACACGTTGCGTCACCTGGGCACGTGGCCGAGTTACGATATCCCAGCCGAAGACCGGGGGTCAACTCCACATTCCGGATCTGACTTTTCCGTGTGTTCTCCCAAGTCGTGACGGGAAAGACACCATTTCGCGAGCTTTCTAGAAACCATCCAACAAGCCAAACCTCCAACAAGCCATCGGACCTCCTGGTCGGACGTCCGACACGACCGGCTTTGCGTTCACCGGTGAAGCAGACTGGAAGGGAAAAACTCTCGAGACATCGAGGCCTTTGGCCATGAACAGCCTGCACACCCTGGCAGTATTTGGGTGAGATGGGTCATCTCACCTCTGAAAGAATTTCTGTTTTGAGTTGAGTCGTCCTCAAGGGGTCCCCTATCTCATTCCATCAAACCAACTCACCCGACGCCCAAGCGTTGTCCATGTCTTTGCCTTCTCTA